GGGCTTATTTAATTTTTGGAGGGGCTTATGGTGGCTCGATACATTTTTTATGGCTAATACCTCCCAGGTTTGAGCATTAACTACTTCGCTATAAACAAAGATTTGGAAAAATTGTCACTACAATTGTATTAGATGAAGATGAAAAACTTGTTATGATCAGGGTTGCAATGACATGGGAGTGGTCATAGCAACAAAATGACGCCATTACCTATTCTACGTGCAGCGGTATTTCTCGGCACTGGGAACTGTTCTTCCAAAATCGTTCGGGGGAGCTTTTTCCTGCAATAGCCGCCTCGATGTTCCTCAAGTTTAAGCGAAATCTGTAGGAGCGTTATCGAGATATTTTGGGATGAAGTTTTTCTGGTTAGAAATACGGTAAGAAATGGACAATCTTGATGTTTGGCCGTTTTCTGTGGAAAACGAAGCGCTTACTTTTGACATGCAATTTCGCCTCATGGTAGCTTAACTCTTTTTAGAAACATGTGTGAAAGTTCATGGAGATAGATTCAACCGATTCCTAGAAAGATGGATTTGATTAGTATGCATCGAGGCGCTCTTGTTAGCGGTTTTGTAAACATTTCGGTCCACTTTAACAAATTGGCGAATAATTTTTAAACCGCTCGATAGATTTTTTTAAAAAACTATTCGCTAATTTGTTAAAGTAGACCGAAATGTTTTTAAACCGCTAACAAGAGCGCCTCGATACATACTAATCAAATCCATCTTTCGAGGAATCGGTTGAATCTATCTCCATGAACTTTCACACATGTTTCTAAAAAGAGTATATGTTGTTAAGTTTTCATTGATCTGCTCAACTTCTCTTAAATTAGTATCCACTTTGTTGAAAAGAGTTCCAGCATTTCTCAGATGTTCAGCTGCTTTCCCAAGGGCCTGCCTCTTCATTTTTTGGGCACTGGATTCATCTGTAATTTCCAAGGCATCAATAAGCCTGTATGAATACTTGGCAAGCGCAATAGCTTGCTCCCCTATGAGCCTTGTGCTTAGATTATTGGCTCTATGATCTTTGTCATTATGATGTTCTCTTATCTTACTAGCAACAAATGACAAACCACATCCTGGCTTTCTACCTGAGACATCAGGTGTTACTGAAGCTGTCTGCATATTCTCATTAAATACCTCTGCTTGCCTGTTTACAATATCCACTTGCCTAACTCTTTCCCCTACTCCTTCCTGATGTGGGGTGGTGAGCTGAGGGCGAGACAACCTAATATTTGCAATTTCTGTTGTGTCAACTGGAGAACTTAATACTTCTAAAAATAAATCCACATTGTTTCTCTGAAGTGCTTCCTTATAAAGCATGTTAAGGATGTGTTGCCAGGCATTTATTTCATTGTGCACAGGCTCTGGCCTTTGTCGGTTGGCAAATTCCCCTATTCTAGGTTCCCCAAGCTGGCGAAGGCCATTGTTAGCCATGAATTCTAATGTTTTTTTGTGGCCTTGGGTTGGGTTAAGATCTTTTGGAAGGGTCTTTTGGAAGGCTTGAACTTTACCCAAGTCTTCTTGGCGCTTTTCTTGTGTGGGCACTTCCCATGTACAGTTACTATCATTCCCTATAGTCCCACCCATCTTAGACAACTGACCTTTATGAACATTAGCATAAGGTGAGGGATATGTTGCCGCTTGGTTCAGCTCATTGTTAGCCCAGCTTTGCCATGACTGATCTGCACTAGGTTGAAATTCAAGTGTACACTGCTGACCACGAACAGTCAAAATATTCCCCTCCAACACCCTCATCTCTTCCGTGTGCTGCTTCCAGATGTCTTCCATTACTGACTCCTTCTCTGAGACACTCAGACAATGGAGTAAGTAATGGAATTCCCTACTTCTTACCCTCGATCCAAAGTTCCAGCATGTCAATGAGCCAATGGACATTGCCTGTTCACTGGTCTCTGGAGCCCCATCATCAGAAAACTGAAAAATAAAGTGGTTCTTGTTGCCATTAAACCAAATTAATTGTTTATGTAAACGAGGCAATCGCAAATGCAAGTCCAGAATCATAAAAACCAATCCTGTGACTGTGCGTGATACTCCAGGATAGTTTGATATTTGGCAGACATGACCAATATCGAGACTTTTTACGAAATGATCAACTTTCAAATCACTGACAATTTTTGGCAAGGCTATTTCTGCATCCATGCATTTTATGTTTCTCGGAAGCCAAACTTCTTGGTCTGCATCATATACTGAGCTCTGCGTCTTACAAACTAAATTAAACTTGCGTCGTGACAGGTAATTTTGGAACTTCACGGCTACTGCTTGTTTTAAAGCTTCTTCAGAATTGTTGAAATCCTTTACGGCTGTTCCAAACACTCCCTGTAAATACTTCCCCCGTTTGTAACTTGAAATCAGTTTATCTATGATTTCTTTGGAAGCAAAAGAAGCGAGAAAGTCCCATGCACCATAAAGGGCCCCCTCATCTCCACCATGGATGTACTCTAGCATTTCTTTTGTTTCCTGCCGACGTCTGTATCTAGTGCTGCTTTTGAAATCTGATATTATCTCAAATGTTGTTGCATTTTGGGTCCGCTTAGATCTGCCCTGCTGCGTTTGACCAAGCATAAGTTTAAATCTGTTATACTCTTTCTTTAGGAGCTCCAGATCGTCTTCATGTTTTTTAGCCTTCTCTTTAGCATCTTTAAGTAATTGTTCTAATGGCAATTAAGGAAAATTAATGCAGTTTGATTAGATAAAATGACACAACATTCAAGACAATAATGTTTTTACTGCAGACACTTCAAGCTCATGAGCAATAATAAATTGACTGGGCACATATACTCTTCTTTCCAAAGTGCCTTTCAGTGGGGAATAGCACTGACCAAAGAAAGCAATGAAGCTTTTGAAAAATAACCTAAACACATAAACTTCAATATAAACAGAGTAGAAATCTAAATATATATTTTCTTATTTTGGTCTCAAGTAAAATTAATTTCATGCTGAGACAAAAAACGTATGAGAAGTCACGCCTGTTCTAAAATGCTGCACACAGCTACTTTCCATTGCGTTAAAGCATGGGTTTAAAAAGTATTTGCGTACATTATGCCTTACCAGCTTCCATTTCTTTTGCTTCTGCTTTTTCTTCGCGTCGTTCCAAGTCGGTAAATCTCGCACTCTTTCTTTCGTAATCTGATATAAGCTGTTCGTTGGTTTCAGAAAATTCCCTCTTCAAGCTGTTCCGAACTTGAAAGCGCGAAGTCTCCCAGAAGGGGTGAAATTGTCTGTCTTTCTTACACTTGCCTGAATGTCTGTCCTGCTTGCTACATTTACGAGACTTTGAACACAATTTTTCCTCGCTAACAAAAGCAAATTCGACAAGAAATCAACTGAGACTAAAGCTTGGAATTTAAGGAATTCAAGATGGAGTCAGTGAGCAGTAATGCGTTTCAAAACAGGGGTTTATGCATGAAGAACTTACGTAGTTTGGTCCATTTCGTCGGCGCTGGAGGTCGCCATTATCCCAAACTTTCATCTGAATTTGAAAAGCCTATGGCATCACGGGATATTTTTATGTTAATGTCTCTTTTAGATCGAAGAGTGGGGTATGAGCGCAGTTTTTTTGTCATTTCTCCTCGAGAATTGAATCAAACAAGCAACATTTCAAATTCAAAACGTTTATTATCTCTGTTGCTATCGGAAAATCAATAAAACAGTGTGTTGGCGTGTTTTGGTTAGCGGCATAAACCCAACATTTGCCTAAAAGTAGGTCTGAGAAGTGCCATGATTTTCAGTACTAAATGGCTACTTACTCCCTCACCCACAAGCTAATTTTATTTATTAATAGCTAACCAATCACAAGGCAAGAATTCATTTCCTTGCGTTATGACAAATCAACAAAAATAGCTTTTGACTTTCCCGCTTCGAAAAAACTTCAAATGACGCCATTTTAATTGGTAGCGTCATCACGTGACCTCAGAAGAGCATCTGGGAGGTTTTCCCCTAGCAACCACAGGCGGCCCAAGCTCATTACATGAACGCGGACGTGACTCTTGCTTGCGAGCGGTGTTGTGTTACAAACGGTTATTTACAAAGGCTTGTATGGGATGTAAACGGTTTTTCTTAAAAGAGAGAAAAAATGTTATGTTTGTCAATAAAATCGACTTACCTTATTGCCTTGTTGTATTCTTTGTTGGTTGCCCGCGTCTCAGGCCGTTTTTAAGCGTTTTTGGCGAGTTAGCGCTATTTTGGTGTTCCACTGCTAAAAGAAAGGTCTTTCTTTTAGCAGTGGAACACCAAAATAGCGCTAACTCGCCAAAAACGCTTAAAAACGGCCTGAGACGCGGACAACCAACAAAGAATGCAACAAGGCAATAAGGTAAGTCGATTTTATTGACAAACATAACATTTTTTCTCTCTTTTAAGAAAAACCGTTTACATCCCATACAAGCCTTTGTAAATAACCGTTTGTAACACAACACCGCTCGCAAGCAAGAGTCACGTCCGCGTTCATGCAATGAGCTTGGGCCGCCTGTGTAGCAACAAGCCATCGTGATCTTTCTAGCAATCGGCTGGATCTATCTCCATGATCTTTCACACATGTTTCTAAAAAGATTTAAACAACTATGAAGTGAAATTGCATGCCAAAAGCGCTTCGTTTTCTAGAGATAACGGCCAATTATCTAGCCTGAATTTCACCCGATTACTTCGAGTCGTTATGACTCAAAGTAATCGGATGAAATTCAGGCTACCAAACATCAATATTGTCCATTTTTTACTGTATTTCTAACCATTAAAACTTCATCCCAAAATATTTCGATAACGCTCTTATGATTTCGCTTAAACTTCACGAACATCTGGGTGGCTGTTGGAGGAAAAAAGCTCCCGTAAGCGATTTCCTAAGAACATCTCTCAGGTAATGGCGTCATTTCGTTGCTATGACAACTCCGATGTCATTGCAACCTTGATCATAACAATTTTTCATCTTTTTCTAATACAACTGTGGTGGCCATTTTTCCAAATCTTTGTTTACTGCAACGTAGTTTAAGCTCAAACTTGGGTGCTGTTGACCCTGAAAAACTGTATCCAGCCACCTTAATTTCCCATGGTATCCCTCCCTAATTCAAAATTTTATACGACGTGTAAGCTTGTACCCAGTCCTCCTCCAAGATGTAAACATATTCGCCATGTTTTGCTCTTGAGAACTTTAAGATCACAAAAATGGCCTCTAAACTGGGTCGAAGTAACCCGGTACAATCTGTCTTGTCACTTGCAGAAGTCGTAGAAATAATTCTGTCCTTTTTACCGGCAAGAGCATTGTTCTCCTGTATGCAAGTGTGTCGCCTATGGCGAGACACAGCCCGACGAGTTATTCGCTCCAGACAAAAATTGGGATGGCTTAGCTTTGCGACTCATCATGAATTACAAAGCACGCCTTGTACGTCTAAGGTAAGAAAAATTTGTTTTATTGTACATAAATTGTGAAATTATTTTCTTAGCGTGTGCAAAAACAGCAAGGGAATTATGATTACAAGATGTTTGTTGAAGTCCAGGAACTAGCCAATTGCAGCAGCATTACCGGAAAGCATCACTTGTCTTTTTCTAACATTTTCAATTAAGTTGATGACAATTATACTCCCGTGATTTTTACATGCTGCTTCGTTATCTAAAACGCGTATTAAAATTACCTTAACAATAGCTAAGATTGCACATAATTGCTGGACGCAAAAACAAACATCTAATATATATGAGGAAGTTCCACTCGACTCCTCCGAAAAGATGTAAAATCGAAACTGCGAAAAGCACGGTTCTTTACGTACTTCTAATGGTGGTGTTTTTCGTCCTATTTTTTCGAAGTGCTTGAATGATTACTTCTTTCTGTACATTTTCATGTTTTGCAACTGTGAACGGTTCAACATCTATTATTTAAAGATCGGTTTGTAAAGTATTTTAAATACGAATCTTCTTCGCCGAAGGATGTAGAAATAAAGTTCTTCCATCTTTTTCAAGCAGCACAGCTGGACAATTCCCCCCGCCCTGTAAATGCATTCATGTCTTTTCATGGGTAGGGTAACTTCCTTCTCTAAGTGACGAGAATGCTTGTTGAAAAGTTCAAAAAATACTGAAAGGAACTCGTAGTGGAGTCAGGGGTATCCTCAAATGGCAGGAACATTTTTGAATGTTTAGGCAGTGGATTAGTGTAGGCAGTAAAAAAGTTTCTCATAATTCTTCTATAATATTCAGTTTGGGTTAAAGCTGCTATACTAAATAAATGAATAAACAAAAAATCCAAAGATGATGCAGTAGGAAGGGATTTTTTTGATGGAAGACAACATTTAAGCAATATTGATTTGGTTATGCTGGGGGTCAGTTATTCCTTTCACCGTTTAGGCCATACCTCATTTTTTTTTTCGTTTCCTGATTTTGGGTCGGTTGGTCGGATTGAAAAAAGAAAAGGAAAAAAAAATCACAAGAAGTCTCGAAATTGGAGGGCCACGTTCCCAAGGATGAAACTAAAAGTTAACATTTACATATGTGGATTAACAAAATGCACAATATACTGAAAAAATGTTCCTGTTTTTGGTCCTGTTTTTCTCTATGCTGTCACTATGCTCATTTTTCAGATGAAAAGAATTATTTCAAGTAAAAAATGGTTTAACTACGTTGTTACTTTTTGGAAATGGCAAAAATCTGGGTCGGTCGAAAAAAAAGAGGATGGCCTTACATGTCGTCTACCTCAAATTTTAAGACCTAGCCTGCAGGCATTTTTTTTTTTAAAATGAAAGCACGGCCTATAGCTACATTGATCGCAGCCGCCATCACAAAAGCAACTGGAAAACTAAGGTAGGAGGGTCAGGCAAGGAAGAGGGGTGGGGAGGAAAAGGGAAAAACACCTGCCGGCAGAGCCTATGAAATTGCCAAACGCCCCCTAATTAGTTGTGACTGACTGCATTTTCAGAAATGCATGAATTCGCAGCCGGTGAAAATTGAGTTCATTTATTTTTGCGGAAGCCAGAAATTTACTCCAACAATAATGAAAATAAAGTGTAAAGACAGGCCAAAAACGACCCATAAGCTCGTGATAGCCAGTGTGAAACGTGACCTTAGAGTTAGCTTGAGAGAATTAGAGGTTTTCCTTTTTTTAGTGGGGAGATTGAGATTATTGTGTGATATAGCTAAGCACCAAAAGCCTTCGCACAGGCTTAAATGGGTAAGTAGGAAAATGAAATAGATGAAAGATGAAATGGTGGCAAACAAACAACATAAAGATGGGTTAAATTCAGACAGGGACATATGGACCCCCCTCCTCCCCGCCCCCCCCCCCACCCCCCGCCTCCGCCGGGCAGCACCGCTATTTTCCCAGAGGCCCATCGCTATTACGCGGTGTGGGCAGGCGCCACAACCCTGTGAGTGACTCTGCGTGTAGCACTCCATGCTCAGCGTGGCGACGTAGTACTAGACGAGCTGAGAATAATGTGTGATAAAAGTAAGCACCAAAAGCCCTCGGAAAGGCTTAAAGAGGGAAGGAAGAAAAAGAAATAAATGAAAAATGAAATGGTGGCAAACAAACTACATAAAGGTGGGTTAAATTCAGACAGGGACATATGGGCCCCCCCCCCACCCCTTCGAGCAAGAGGGCCTGAAAGTAATGGTTTAGGTTAGTAGCTCAAAGTCCGCTGTAGACAGTCATCTCATGCCAGCTCAAGTTCCTTAGCCACTTTTTTGCATGGAGAAGGATGAGCCTGCTAGCATCAAGGCTTTGCATGAGCCCAAGTCCAGAAATATAATAGATCAACCCGAATAAGCATTTCTCAGAGGATGACATTGTGCACACTGCCCAAGACCAAGCCAGTGAGAGACAACTTACAGTCAACTGCTCCCTGGTGAACTGATGATGATGATGATTAGCTCAAAGTAGTCTTCAGCTGACTAACAAACTTCAGGCCAAGAGTGTGCTCATTTTATTCCCCTTCCACAACAATGTTCTGTTTTACAGATATTAAAAGTGCAGAACTGGAAGCAAAGATTTGAGGTCTTACCAGGGAATTGAATGTGGGACCTCTCCAGGGATTTTGTTACAAATAGTTATGGTGTGTCCTGGGACTCATCTTGTGAAAAACCATGAGTCCCAGTTAAAAAAATTAAGTCTGAAATTGAAAATGCTGCGGCTTTTATGTAACCATACACTTAATCTGAAGACAGACTCCAAAACTCTGTATTACAGTATACTGATATTAAAATATAGTCCTTCTATTTTAAAGCACAACGAAGGTGAAAAGAAATATGCATCGCTAAGCAACAGCCATAACAACTGCCACAGAAATTATACGAACCAGATATTATTAGTACACATGTTCAGATCGATCAACTGATCTTTGCATCCTGCGGGACGCATGCCATGAATTATCTTGCGTCTTTGGGGACTACTATGCGTCAGGGACGCAGGAGGCAGAGGTAACAAAATCGCTGCCTCTCACACAAAAGGCCCTTCTCTAACCAATACAGGTTTGTCCTGAACAGGGTTTTAAGTTGAGAGGTAGAAAACAACAGAGTGCATATTGTCTCTGTTGTCTTTAACAGAGCTATAAAACAGAGGTTTCTGTCCTATGCAGGGTTAAAGTTGTAAGTTTCTTTTTGGTCCTATGCAGCAACAGGGTTTCAAACCCTTATTTAGCACCCCCATCCTTATAGTTGTGTCAGTACAACCCCTCATTCCCTATTCCTCTGTGGTATGTACACTAAACAAGGAATGTAAATTAGGTAACTTGTTTCAACGTAAATTATCTCCTTTTTAGCTCTCTATGGAAATACTGTGCCACCAGGTCATTGAATTTTTGGATGAGCTTCCCTCAATTCCAGCTGCGTGCATTGTTTTGGTGAGTAGGAGCACAGAATATTCCGATGGCAGAAAAGATGAAATAAAAAACCTCTTAACTCAAGTGAAGTGCCGCATACCTAAATCATGTGCGCTAATTGGCTGTGTGGGAGCTGGCATTATTGGAACAGCAGAAGGAGGAATCTCAGAGGAAGTAGAAATGGCTGAGGGTGTGGCTTTGATGCTGATGCCACGAGTAGAGGGTACATCAGCACATGTTATTAACTTGGGACTAACAGAGGTGAGGCATAACAGAGCAACCAAATCTCGTTGGGAGAAGTCTTTAAGAGTTCCCTTGGACGGATCAGTGAAGTGTGCATTTTTGCTGGCTAAGGGAGACACCTATAATCTTGATGTCATTGGAAAAGTGGCTTCAGGAATTTGGAAGGTAATGGGCTTTGGATATATCTTATTCCTGGAATTACATCCTTGATTGTGTCATTTGACTGAAGAAATTTTTATCCTGCCTTAAAGGCTAACTGAATTTTTTTGCCCTCAATAAATTTCATTGCAGTCAGTGATGTGTGAATGAAACCCCACAAACCAACATTCGAAGGTTGGCTTTTTGCTAGGGTTCTAACCCAAGAACTGATTTTAGTTATTCAAAGTGGCTCAGAAAATAATTTTGCAGGGAACCAGATACCTTTTGCATAGCTGTCAACATTAGGCTGTCAATATTCCTGTCTGAAAAATTTTATAGAATTTGAAGGGTCGTCAGTTTGATTCTTACCTGGAGCTCATAAAATTTTTGTGAGGTTTCTGGTGTTTGAATTCTCCTTCTTCTTTAATATGGTGATTCCTATGGCTTATTATATTTCAGGCATGCGATAATGAGGGAGAGTGTAAGTCAGATGTGGTCATAATTGGTGGACTTGTGGAATCATTTTTGATGGTTGACAATGAAGTGAAAAACCATGGAGTTGTGGGACTAGCAATATCTGGAAATGTTGAAGCCATCTCCATGGTTCATCACGGTGAAACGGCTAGTGGGATGCGCCAAAGTCTGAGGAATCTGAAGACGTCTGGTATTCCTTGTGAGAAAGATTCAAATACAGCTTGCTTTATGGTGTCTTGTATTGGTCGTGGTGAAAAGTTTTACAATGCCAAGAATGTGGAAACTGGGATTTTTCAACAGGAATTTCCTGGAATTCCTGTTCTAGGCTTCTTTGGCAATGGAGAACTAGGCTTGGACTTGCATTCATGTGAGGGAAAGCTAGAAAGGGATGGTCATTATTTGCATTCTTACTCATCAGTGTTTTGTTTGTGCTCCTTGTTGTCACAGTCACCATCCAGTGGCAGCACAATTCAATTAAAGGACCGTGCATCTGATTCAAAAGAGAAACCAAGTGCAAGTGAATCTGCAAGAGCTGGCAAGTGAAAGCTGTATACTGTTTTTGGATGATTATCTGTTTTGTGGACGAGTGTTATTCTTCACTCACTTACATAGTGTTGGCTTTGATGGATGGGAAACATTGTGTGTTAAATTAATTGTTAATCAGTGCTATCTGAAATTAATGATAGGCAGTCGATCAGGCTAAAACATCCCACATATATGAAGAAAATTATTTTAAACTGAAAATCTTACAAGTAGTGACTATCAGCAATTGTCTAAAAGCAGCTTAGTTTTCTTACGGGTTGTTTTGGCTTGGTTGGTGGCCTTTTTAAGGCTTCATAAAACAGTCAAACCTACTCCATAAGCAACACCCCCTTCCCCCTGGAGGTTTGACTGTATTACTTAAAAGAGCTCAAATAATTCCAGTGGGCATTTTAGTTGAAGGTGTTTTTAGCCAAAGTAAAGTAATTTTAATACAGGTGCAAGCAGGGTGCAAAGAAAATAATTTTTACAGCTTGCCATTCGAGCAAGCTGCTGCTAGCATTTACTAGTCCAGAAGTCATTTCGACTGGCCCCCAAATTTTTTTGATGAGCAGAATTGATTTCACAGTTCTTCTGTAAGATGAATCCCTCAAAATACTTCACTTACCCATCGGGCAAGGTAAGAACAGAATTCACTAACCCAATGGCAAAATCCACTATCTCCGGGCTATCGGACACCACTTTCTTTGCACACTATGTAAGGTTACCTTAGAACTTTATTTAATTACTGTACTGCTTTGATGAAAGTATTCTGGCCTTAAAAAAGTAATACAGTGCTTATAGATTAATCCCTTTTTTTTTGGAAATCAATATATGGAAGCATTTGATCTGTTTCACTCTCATTACTGTAACTGTAATGTAACTTTTGTTTGTTTGTTTGACTTATTTTCTGCGATAGTTATGGTCTTTTAAATGTAAGAAATTTTCAAAATTGTTGATGAAATTACCAGTAAGCTATATTTTTTAATTTAAAGATACAAAAGCAGGAACTGTGTGACCTGTGATCAGGTGGTCCTGCTTTCCTAAATTTGTTTTTGAGGCCAGGGAAAAAGGTTCTATTTTTCCCTTTCCCCATCTGCTGACTTTTGTGCTTTCTCCATAAAAGAACACCTCTATTGCCGGTTAGGAACTCTGCAAACTGGCATGCATGTATAAAAACTCAAAAAAAAGGTAGCCCTCAGTGTGACTTTGTCTAGCCTGTGATATGAGCCACGACACAGAAAAGCTGAAACTGGGACTTTAACACTAGTATTTACACGTAAGCACAGATTGGCATTAATGAGGGATTATAACTCAAGCTGTAATTTTGGTTTTGTTATTATGACTAAAAATAAAATAGAATAGACTTTGAAAGTCAATATTTGCTCGTGTATGACATGGAACCTTGATATCATTTTCATAAGAGACTTCCTCAAACTAGTTCCTCTGCAGGTGGAGTCATGACAAAATAAGGTACATTCCCTGGGCTGGGATTTCGTGAAAACAATGGTTTGTTGAGGGTGCTCAGTCTCATAGCTTCAATCATAAAACTTATTGAAGGTCGATGTTATTTTGCCTTTGCCCCTCAAATGGGTGTCTGCCGCTCCAAAAACTGTCCGCACCATGGGCAAGGGTTTCAGATTTGGTTCTCTAAAGGGCATCAACAATTCAGGTAGTGGAAACCAGGAGAAACGTATATCAGCATAGTAAACGAGCAGTAAAATGAAGATTGGGTTTAAGATACTTATGACCAAAAAGTCTGGAGTACTTTGATTATCTTTGTTACTATTGTCTTTTTGGGAACATAAAAAAATGGCTGCGCCTCGACTCACTTTTCAGTGTCTTGATATCGTAAAAAAACGCTATGTTTCGTGTTTGATATATAACATCTCGGGGTACCTATGTTATCGCGTTTTGCTTGACGAACTACAGAAAAAAGAGAGACCGCTTGTAATCTACTCGTTAGGGAACAATGACCTTGAGAAATATCCCCTCTAACCACACCCATCAGGCCTGACCGAGTATCCAGACGTGGCCTGTTTCTGACTCGCAAGTCAAGGATGTGGCAAAGACTCAAAGGTGCAGGTCTTTCCCTCACCCAAATTTTTAACCACGTCCTTTGGGCTTTTCCGAAGGGACGACGATTGAGGTTGCCAAATTTCCAGCTCTCTTTCACCTTATCCACAACCAGGAGGGCTGCATGTTAACAGGCCATAGATGAGACTCTGTCTCAGCCGATTCATGAAACTAATTCAGAAAAGACTCGCACGCGCGGATCTAGGATAAAAATTGACCGATTTCCTAAATGAGCGCCGAAGGCCCAGTTGCAGGGGGTCCGTGGGCATGCTCACCCGAGGAACATTTTTCGATTTTGACGGCTTCTCAAAGTCCTCTTTCCTGGGTTTGTGAGCCAAACGACAGGATATTGGCCAGTCCAGTTTCCTCAGTTGCAAATCGTCGAATTATTTCATCTCTTAGTTTTGATTTGGAAAGCTGGGCATCAGTAAACTTGATGAACTGTAACTATGTATAGTATATCTTTTTTTTGTTATCTTGTCTTTTTAAGTAGCCACACCATACCACGTCATATTGTGTAATTTCCGGTCATTATTTTACTTCATAATATTTCTGTAAATTCGTGATATCTCAATAAACCTGATGAAGACAGGAGCCTAGGGTTATGGGCTCCTGATGAAGACTGGTATTGGCCAGTCGAAATATCGCAACTTAACTCTATTTCACGTTGTTTGATCAGTCCCTGCAAAAGTCTTCTTGACTGTAACGTTTTCAGTTAAAAATATATTTATCATGAACTGAATCTGACCAATTTCGGTAAGACGGTGGAAACCGGTGTAGATACGCGCCTAAGACTTGGAAAGAGTTTGAAGTATTTTGACAGTTGTTAACGTTTTGTTTAGATATAAAACAACAACAATAACAGCAACAAAAAGAAACAAATGTAAAACACGCGCAGGCAAATATAGATCCTCTGACTTGTTTCCGAATGTTCCAAATTAAGGTTAAAATTATTACGTCAGATTTCTGATCTTGTTATTTACATTAACTACATGACTACGCTTCCTGAAAGCTAAAAAAGCGCCCTTCTCTCCAAAGATTTATATTGTGTAAGAGTCAACCATATAAGGGCGAATTTGAAAGACATTTACCGTAATGTATAAGTGATAGCCTGCGTAGCAAGCGCTTGGAAGTAGTGGGGGCAAAAGAACGGGCGCGCGAGAGGGAGACACATGAGTCAGACGGTAACTTAATTTCTTACCTTCTTTTTATTCGACTCAGCTCTGTCGAAATGCAGTATACTCTACATCTAAATTAATAATAACAAAATATTTAAGGGGACATATAGCAAGTTTTAAATCTGGGAGCTTGAAGGTGTTTTTGAGCTACGCACGTCAACGGGAAGTGGATTTTATGCAATACAAATTTGGTAGCGTTATAAAGGCGCTATAAGGGATAAGGCGTCACTTCCGGTTGACGAACGTTGCTCTCTTCTCTCAAAGTAGCCTTCACCCATAAGCTCCCTAGCTGGCGACTGCACCTTGAAACAAAACTGAGGATGTGCTGGATCTTATAATCAGCATGTCACGAGCGTGGGACGAACAAGAAGTCCTGAATCCCCGACATGCCGATAATCTCGTCTTTCGCATTCATTGCCGATTTTTTTTCTTTTATCACCAAAACTGAAAATGATGGTAATAAAGCTGATGATGATGATGATAATGATGACGTAGTTTGTCTAAGAGTTAAAACAAAGATTGCAGTGCACTGTAATATGATAAAAATAAAGAGCGATAAAAAAGGCTATAACTTAATAATATATACCTCATATGCTATTAAAGCCATTTAAGTACATGAAGGATTTGCAGAATCAGATGCCAATCCGGTAACTCACTCGTCGATGTTTTTCATAAGCAACTTGTAGTATTTCTATATACTTACGTGGTCATTCAGGTTATATACGCTTTATTTTTATATACGCTTTTTTTCTTTTTTTAAGAAATCTTTTCACACTGTTCTTGGTCTGACAATAAAATTTAATTTCGTTTAGTCTTTAACATAAGTGAACTGAAAATGCGGAAAACACAGCCACATTCGCGGACATCTTAGTTGCAATACAAATGGAACTTCAGCTTTTCATCCTCATATATCCTCCGATATTCTCGATGACGCCTCAGCGGGCGCCTCAGTCTTCGAAAAATAATAAACGTTATAACTTTATCTTTGCTGCTGTTTAATATGCACGATCTAACTTGCCCCCATGCCGATTATTCGACTTTGATCGTTTCTGTACAAAGGTCCAATCAGATACTGTGTTACTGAATATCCAAACAAGAGCTTTCAATGGGCTAAGGAGCAATTACATAACATTTCGGTCAACATACAAGAGACACCATGCAGCACACGTGCTTTTTTTCATTTTCCATTCAAAGTGATGCCCATTATTTTTAGACCACCATTACATCTTAAAGTAAACGAACAAACCTTCGCTTAAGCGGAAATATAAAGAGTTTCTGAATTTCTATTCCCTAGAAAGGTCTCGGACCAAAATGCCATACTAGTCACGTGACACCGGCATTTTCACTCCAATGAGCACCCGAGAAACCATGAGCTCATTGTTACAGGAATGGCGATCGCACTTGCCAAATTTTACCAAGTTTTAGTCAAACTTTAGCGAATGTTTTTACGATTTTTAGAATTTTAGTCAATTCAACAATGGCCGAAGTGTTCCCAGAGGATATTAACGATCATTTAGACGACGAAAATTTGAGTGAAGATGATGAATTCGAAGAGGTGAGTTTGAATGATATGAGTTTTGCGTTGGTATGAAATTGCGTATAACGTCTATAGTATACGATCGTAAACGCTTTCTAGGAAAGTGTGGGTCATGTTAATGAAGTATTAAGACATCATTGTGTTGATTATAGGGGCAGTTATGCGACGAACCGATGGAAAACGATGAAAGGTAAATTTGTCTACCGGCATTTGTTGTATTTTGAAATTTCATCTCTCGATAGTTCAGTGAAGCGATTCATTGCTGAATCAACTACAGCAATGCTTTTAATTTTTTCCTATAGTGTGGAAACGCTGGCCCTTTCTGGAGAACTTGTGAATCCGAAAGACGAGAAAATAGGCCCCCAAAGCTTCGAACTTCTCAAAGTTCTGGGAAAGGGTGGCTATGGAAAGGTACGCTTTAATAAATAGCTATGACAGGGAAGTCCCTTAACTACAATGTTAATTTTTAAGCTCCCACTAAGCTCTTTTTCCTAATGAAACTGAAAAAGAATGATCCAGATTTAAACGCTTTAATTTTTGCCATAGGTCTTTCAGGTTCGTAAAGTGGATGGGAGAAATAAAGGGAAAATATTCGCAATGAAAGTTTTGAAAAAGGTACGCTAAACGTTTGTTGTGGTGATAGTCTATTACCGGTAGATTATTCACAGGTGAGTTTGTATTTAAGTTGCATAACCAAGCTTAAGCCTAGGTTAAGGCTTGAAAAGCTAGTATTGAGGATCAAAAACGTAATGGGTCACTTAATATTAGTCTCCAAGGTTATATTGGTAATTTCAGCTGATTTCAGTTTCTGGACTAGTTTTAGAGCGTTGAATAATTTTTCGAATGTCATGTACATTGTATTTCCTGGAGACGATTTAAAGCTTTATTTACAAGGTACGTGCCTGAATTTAAAGCTTATCATAAATAAAACAATTAAGAAAAGTGATACTGCCCAGTTGTGGTTCAAGAGTCAAGGTTAATCAAAGCTGTGGGTTAAAAATAGATTGATCTGAATGTGTCACTATTTATTCAGGAGTTTTAATGGTAAAGCCATTTATTTAGAAGCTTTCAGTAAAAGCTCAAGCTGGCAAATGGTTGCCAGGATATTAATTTTCTGACTTTTTGGCCAAGAGGCAGCAAACAGTTTTGTCACCTCATCATATCTTGTGTCTTTAGGGGAAACACCATGTAACTTGCGGGGTCAAAGTGTATTGGGATAATTGCCTTTTATTAGATCATGATTCTAGAATGGTTTATACGGTTTTGAGGCGTTTTCTAGAATAGGGTGTAATATAGCCAGCGCCACAGATGGAACTAAACTTCTGTTAACCAACTGCCTCGCTTAATTGGAAGAAGGGGGCCTGGGATACCCAGCTGCTTCCACTGTGGCCGTCCAGCCCCTAGTTAGAGTACTGCCCCCATGGCTGGTAAATCCCCGCAACCCAGCCATGAGCCCCCGTCCCAGACACCTGTCACACTGATGAAACAGTGGGAGGAAGAAAAATAAGGGATGGGAGGTGGGGAAGACGCTAAATGAACCGCTCCACAGACCACTGCACAAACGCTCAACAAAGAACTCAAAGATCTTAGCAGTTTACAAGGCTACCACTTACCATGTGAGCCTGCACTTATGGGATTGACCACTGGATGCCCGTTAAGCTCGTGGGCTGCTTGACCGCTAAGCTTGTAGCCTGCTTGTCCACTAAACTTTTGGACCTCTTAACCGCTAGGCTGGTGAAGCGCTTGACCGCTGTTCTTGTGAACCACTTGACCGCTAAGCTCGTGGTGGTTAACTTAGTTTAATTACATTTAACCAAATCCACGTCCGTCTGCAAAACAGCGCCAAAATCCTTGTTCTGGGCCCTCACCTTTGTTCCAGGATTTGTGTATGTGCCATGATTGGCCAATTATTAGGTTGAAGGGAAATTTGAAACATGTTTCTGGTAATTTGTTGAAAGCCATTAGCAAAGGCTTTTAGGTTCTAAGATGAGGACGACTACAAGAACAAGATTTTCTCAATAATTAGTGTAGCCTGTGAATACAGCCATCTCTGCTTGCTCCTCTCCACTTGGGTCATTTTGCAGAAGATATGTCTGTGCCTCATCAACAGAAATTCCAAGCTGATGATGTAGTTCAATGTTTACTAAATTAATCTAGCAGTCATGGGGTTGCAAATGTAAATCTGTTTGGGTTTAAGAGTTCTTCTGCAATTGAGTGACTGCAAAACTTAAATGCTTCTTCTAAAGACTAATGTATTCCAGGAATAATGACTGTTTTGTAGTAGATTCATTGCATTTACATTTTGACCTTTTGTCTTTTACTTTAACTCATTAACAAATAATAACTAAAAGAATACAATTACTATGTTGACCAATCAGAGCTCCTGAACAGATTGTGAACAGATTTTACATCTTGGGTGTGGAATTTCTGTCATTAAGGCACAGACATCTCTCCCGCAAAATGTCCCAAGCTGTGAAGAGCGAGGAGAGACAGTTTTAATCATACACTACTGACAAGTGTACTAAGTAGTGCATGTGCATGAACCTGGAAGCGTCATTTTGGCAGGGAAAGGCGACAACTGTTATGCTGTCATTCTACCATGGGTTTTTAAGGGTAAGAAATAAGCAGGGGAAAATTTTTCAATTAATCGAGGAAATACAGAGTAGAGCAAAAATACTTTAAATCAGGAAGCTCTTGTGACTGGTGAAAATCACTGTCTATCTCAAAAGTTCTCAATTCTCACAGAAAATTAATAATGCTTATTGCTGTACCTCTAGGCTGCCATTATAAGAAGTCATAAAGATACTGCACACACAAAAGCTGAAAGGAATATTTTAGAAGCTGTTAAGGTTTGCTTTTGATTTGTCCTTAAAAATAAATAAATAGTAGTGCAAGAGTAACATAATAAACCTTTTCTTCTTCTCTTTTTGGACTTGGTGCTGTAATAGTAAATTTCATCTTAAGAAATTATACTATTTATGGGGAAATTTAATTTGTAAAACCAAAATTATATTATTGTAATTTTTAAGATGGTTTTCTATGAGCCAGGGTGGATGCATCAAAATGGAAAAATCTTTAGGAGTAAAACAAGGTGAAATACATTCAGTTTAAAAAACCCGTTTACACACATTTAATATTGGGTGCAGGTAACTCGGATCATCTCAGTTTTGATTTTCTTGTAAAAGTGAATATATTTACCAGTAGAAGAGGTATCTGACATATTTCAAGACTGATTGACTGTCTTGTTTGGGTTCAAATCCCACTGAAGGCCCAAAATGTTTTTCAGGTTTAGTTGCAATTGCTAAAATTGCAATTACTTCTGCGACGATCATATCTTCAATTAAAATTTGTCTTGTTTTTATTTTCAGCATCCATTTATTGTTGATTTAATATATGCCTTCCAAACGGGGGGAAAACTCTACCTTATTTTGGAATATCTCAGTGGTATGTTTAGTTCTCATTACTTGCAAATGAGCTAACTCTAAACTGACATGTTTTGTGAAGTGTTCTGAATTTAATGATGCCTTTAGATTAGCAGTATACACTACGGCTCCAAAGTAAGTTACCACCCTCTCGCGAGACAAGAATTGCGTTGCACATTATGTGATTTTCATAGGGCACGAGATGCCAAATCTAATGCCTGTTTTCCTCAGTCTTCAAGGTAGCACTAAGCAAAATTTTTAGTTCATTTTCGCTGGACGTGTAATGACAGTAATTTATGCTGAAAATTGCCACTTCAATGATTCTTGTGCTAGGCGATTCTTGTCATGCAGGGAACGAGACGCGACTAGTATAAAGTTACTTTCGACCGGTACTGTATGTTAATGCTTTTATATTGTGTTGTCCCTTTCATTATGAGCTATCAAACAAAGTAGACTCCTCTATTCTCTAGGGGGAGAACTCTTTATGCATTTGGAAAGAGAAGGAATTTTTATGGAAGATACAGCTTGGTAAGAGCCTGGCAATTGCAATTTACAATGATTTATCTTTTGAGGTGTCTATGTTAAAGGTAAAATCCATTAATTATCAGATTAAACTAAGGATTTCCTTTTTCCTGTACAAATAATGAGTTTTAAAAAGCGAAGGAAATTTGGAATCAAACTAACAGCTCTAGGTTGAATTCTGGCTTATCCTGAAAACAGATTTTACCATCAACATGTGTACATGTAATACAGTCTTCAGGATTATGCGGTGATGATATTTCAATAGAGTGCAGAAGGCTGTTCAAACCTTCTTTCCTTTTCTTATTCTGACACATTTCTCCCAGAAAATTCTTAAATTTTAAAGGTCTTACTTGATACTAGACTTTTTGCAAGGGTAGCAGCACACTTGGGGTGAGATTGACATTGTTTTGTAGCTTACGTTTTTTGTGCATGTCAGTTAGAGAAATCTAAAAATTTTTGAGTTCCTGTAAAAGAGAGGAATCTTACAATACATGTTGTTAAGACTTTTTGCGGAAACTCTCTCTTGGTTAAATGGTGCCCCAACTTTGTTGGAAAAAGTCTCTTGTTGTAGGCTCGATCAGTCACCTAGATTACATTTAGCCACATGTAATTCTGATTAATAAACTGTTTATTGCACACAGTTTTTACTTGTCTGAGATAGTACTGGCATTGGAACATCTTCATAACCAAGGAATCATTTATAGGTAGGTACATGTATGTAAGTCAAAATGAAATTCACATTAAAATGGTTTTAACCTAGGTTGATTCTCAATTTGTTTTGTCTTCTAAGCCATGAATAATATGTTTATGCATATTTACTATTGAATAAAGTAGTTTTCTTGGCCATCTCTTTTTGCAGAGATCTCAAGCCTGAAAACATCCTTTTGGATTCACATGGTAATAACATGATACACCTGTCTATTTTTAACTCTGTAAGTTATGGCATCAAACATCCTTGGGAAATATCCTTTCCATCTGCTTTACAAGGCATGGTGTTCTGCAGTATGTTTATAAAACCTCTTTTAAGCAGCCTCCTACTATGTAGATGCCCCCTAGTTAGTTGCCATTTACCAGAGTTGTCAGTAAAAATAATTTTTACAATTATTGTGAGATTACTTTATCATATCCCTCAGTTAGCACATGCACTGTCATTTGGCCTTATTAATTATCAAGGCCGTGCTCTAAGAAAAATTAAAGAGAACACAGTGCTCTTACATGTTACCTCTGCTATCCATGGTGCCCAGCATATGAATTCAATGAGAAAACTAAGATTTTCAAGTTGCCTGGGAGCAAAAGTTGGGCACCAGGGGCCACTGGGCACCTGCCAGAATACAGCCTTGCATATTCTACTGTATGACATGTATGACCCACTTAATGTCAAAGTTTACGTCGTGACCTCAAACTTTGTAAGGAAGAGGAATGCTAACATAGCCTCTATTTAGCGGCCAGCAACCAGTTATCAGTTCTGTGATGGATGACCACTTGGGAGAGGTATGACTGTATTTTGTGAATTTTCTCGTTTTACAGGGCATGTCATGTTAACAGATTTTGGCTTGTGCAAGGAGGCAGTGTTTGAAGACAAGTTAACTCACACATTCTGTGGGACTATTGAATATATGTAAGTTGGAACAAATAGGAAATCATTAGTGATTTCCTATTTCATACATTTCTACAACAGCAACTTACCTCTCCCCAATATGGCCATTTTGGTGAGGTCTAGCTGTATCTTTTTCTCTCTAAGGGCTCCAGAGATTTTGACACGCAGTGGTCATGGCAAAGCAGTGGATTGGTGGAGTCTTGGTGCACTCATGTACGACATGTTGACAGGCAGTGTAAGTTGACATTTCAGACAAGCTCTCAAGACTTAAATCTTTATTTATTTTTTAAGAGACATGGTGCCTGACTTATCTGTTAAATTGTTTGTACAAGTTTTTATACTGAGACTGTGTTATTTTCAGCCTCCTTTTTGTGGAGACTCCAGAAAGAAGACAATTGACAAGGCAGGTTGATTCTTTTTTTTTTCCTTTGTTAAGTATTTCCTGGATAAGCAGCTTGTATTTTATAATGTCATTATTATGAATAACATGGAAGGGACAATGAGATAGCTAGAGGCATTTTGTAAGCTGTACATGTCCTTATAAAGTAATGGAGAAGAATGAAAACTAAGCTTAAATAGAAACCAAAGTAGAGTTCAGATTGCAGAGCCGTTCTTTTTAACGTGGAATCGCTGTATTCTGCATTAGATCCTCAGAACAATCTTTCACTATTAAGAGTTTTGATGCATGGGCTTTGCAACTTATTTTCTCAGCCTATTCTGGCTTAGATGTGATTGGCTCTGACAGGTTGATTTAGGAGTGGATAGTTTGTAATAATATTATTTGCATTTTCTTGTGGTGCAGATTTTAAAAGGGAAGCTGGTTCTTCCTCCTTATCTTAGTCCAGAAGCAAAAGATTTTATTAGAAAAGTGAGTATTCATTTTGCATGTAGGTACTCCCCTTAGGCAATCTGTTCCATTAGCTGCACTTACCACCTGGTAAGAGTGCACTTTCTAAGTGCTTGTATTTCAAGTGCCTGTACAACCAGAAAACACGAGGGAATTACCTTGGTCCTCAATATGTTGTGTTAATTTTCTGGAAAGCTTTTTGTAATTAATGCAGAAACATACTATTAGGTTTTTTACGTTTATGGTTTTCCATTGTACTTTTGCAGTATTATATTTCACTTTTGTTATCTTTTCAGCTACTGAAACGCCATGTCCAAGCAAGACTAGGCAGTGGACATGATGGTGCAACCCCCATAAAGGTACAGATTATTTGGTGATGGGTCTTTTCGCCAATGAGTCGTTCCACTAACAGCCTGTTCGCTAACGTTTTAAGTTGTTTCACTAATGTGTCAGGTCAAACAGGTTCGTGCATGACCCAATTGTTAAAAACTTTTTTGTCTTATTTTTTATTTCATCTTGTAAAGAGAACAAAGCGTTTTGGTTTTGTTTTCCTCGGTGACCATACTCCATTTTCATTTTTGTTGTTGTTGTTGCTGTTCTGCAGAAAAATCATTTATTATATATAATTCAGCATATCCCTTCCACTTTTGCATGTGAAGGCTGTTGACAATGTTGAAAGGGGCATCAGTTAACTGCAAGAGCTAGTAGAAATTTAATGATTTGTAGCTTTCTATTTTTACTTTCAGACCCACCCTTTTTTTCGTGCCACAAAATGGGATGATCTTTTTATGAAAAGAGTGGAACCACCATTCAAACCAAATATTGTAAGTGTAAAGTGTGAAATAACTATGTTTACTATGTTTAGCATTCATGTCATCACTCTTTTACCCTTGAAGTCCCAATCCCACGTACAAATAATTAATTCTCTAGACTGATCAGCTCCATACATTTCCTTTAAAATATAGGAGTAGTTGAGAGAATCTGTTGAAAGACCTAAGGATTTTCATTTAAGTGATAATTTCTTTGTTACTTCTCATAATTGAGACTGTTATGATAAAATTGATGTTGGTCACTCTTGGATGAACAGTCAGGATCAGGAGCTAAACCTTGGGAACTAAACTATTAATGTTTATTACCAGTGGCTCAAAATAATTGTTATCTTCTTTTAAAAATTAATTTCAATATGGGTCGTGTAAACTAGTGCATGTCATTTTGTTTGCATAAACCCTTTGCATTAAAATGTGCGCGTAGAGTTAAATTTTTCTGCTGTTCTTGTTCACAGACAGGTGAAGAGGATGTTAGTCAATTTGACAGCAAATTCACTAGACAGACACCTGTTGATTCTCCAGTTGACTCAATGTTAAGTGAGAGTGCAGATAAAATATTTCAGGTAAAGAAATTAATGCTGTGGACCTCGTACAGCAAAGAGTGTGTAAAACTTTGCAGCCTTTCTGTTTGTACGCCCCACATTCTTTGAACTTCTTTCACAAGACCTTGTTACTTTTCAACTTTCTCATCTTCCCTCTTTCTCACTCTTCCATCCTCCAGAATTGCCGTAGTCTGATTGCACACTGAAGTCCCACAGACACTCGCCATCAGTCATCATAAGCCATCAAGGGTTTTGATGGTTGATGATGTCTGACACCCCTGGAAAATTGTTTAATGGCCTTAGCTACCACAAGTCTCCTGTAACTCAGTGGTGGAGCATCAGGTCTTGTAATCAGAGGGTCGTAGCTTCGACTCCTATTGGGAGTACTCAGGTTTTTTATTCCAAGCCGCCTGTGTCACCGACTGAAAAAAAAACACCTCTCTCATGCATTCACCAGGCTCAAAATTCATCATCACATTTCTGTCATTGCACCTGTATAAACACATATGAACATCCTGGTCATAGGAGTATGCCGCAGGATGTTTGTTACGTGAACCTAGTTTAGTGGCCTTAGCTCCCACAAGTCTCCTGTAGCTCAGCAGGTCACAGTTTTGACTTCTATTGGGATTACTCAGGTTTTTTTCTTCCCAGCCGCCTGTTTCACTGAATGTAAAAAAAAAAAAGTCTTTCTCGTGTATTCACCAGGCTTAACATTCATCATCATTTCTCTATCATTGCACATAAGCACATCTCTACATTCCAGTCCTTGCAGTACGGTATGCAAGATGCTTGTTACATGATCTTAGTTTACTGAGTGACCTACAGTAGCTGTCACAAGTCTTCTGTAGCTCAGTGGTAGAGCATCTGGACTAGTAACCAGAAGGGTCATGAGTTTGACTCCTATTGGGAGTACTCAGGTTTTTTCCCAAGCCACCTGCGTCACTGACTGAAAAATCATCTTTCTCAATAAAGCTCTTTATATGCATCATACCTGTAATACACCTGTCTACACAGTAAACACTCAAAGGAAAGTGTAAATATTTTGCAGGGCTTCACCTATATTGCACCATCAGTTTTGGGTTCATTGCATAGAGATATTCCTATGTCGCCATGGAAATACACAAGGTGAGTCCTGAAAATAGGAAAACAAAACAAAACAAACACGGTTGCTGTTTTTTTTATATATGTTGTGGTTAGTTGAGCAGTGAAACTTTAAGCTTAAAGCCTCCTTATTGTCCTGTTTCCAGCAACCATGGGTCCCATTATAGTGGGAGAGCACTGTACAAGGAATACTTAGATTCAATTATTTAATTTTTGTCTGGTCCAGTTGTTGAAAAGCTTCATCTGCGCTTATTACAGAATGGGATGGTACATTAGCACTTGTTCTTTCCTTGAGAACTTTTCTGTACTTTAATGGAACAGAAATTACTAGCCTCTCGCAGAATTATTCAAGCCCCGTAACGTCTATGAAGCAGTGACAAGATCCTTGTTGTGGGCCCCTCTAGACTTAATGAATTACCGGAAGTGTGTTTTGAATTTCCTTTCAACCCAGTGAGCAAATCAACAGTTGAATTAGGTTCGGCTCATGAAAAGTTCGGCATCTGAAACGGGCCTGAGGCATTATTGGCTTCCTAGACAGGACCCCCGTGAGAACTTGTTTGTTGTATTGTTACACAGATTGACAACGGGCATGCAACTGGCTCTTGTATAAACTTTACATTCATTTGATAGCAATGGTTCTCTATTTGTTCAAAGCATGCTTTCATTGTTTTAAACATGGCTTTTTGTTTTAGTTTGTTAGATTTCTTGTTGTATTTGATTTGTAGTTTAAAATATTCCATTTCTTCCTTTTTTATTTCAACAGATCGCCAAGAAAAAATACACAGCCCATGAGGTAAGGAAAAATTTATAGTCTTTATGTTGTGTGGATGATTTTTTTTAACTTTTTTCATGGACAAAATCACTCTCAAGATGGGGAAAATAAATTGGTAAACTGCTGGAAATGCCGTTTTTTATGCGTAAACTGTGGCGGGGGGCACTTTCACCATTAGCTGTGCTTGCATTATTTCACACAGATGCAACGTGACATAACTAGTGTATAGTGATAACACATGCGATTTTCTATAACTATGTGCAACTTTAGGAAGTCAAGTCTTGTTAGCATTTTAAGAAATGAGCAAAACCTTGCTTGTGCTTCCGGATTTTAAATGTGCGTTTGGTAGAAAACGGTAGAAGTAAGTAGTTTGCTGAAAAAAAACTTGTGAAAGGTTGTTTTAACATTCCATTTTGTAGGAAATATTCATTTACTACTTGCTGCTATGACCTGCTATGATTGGAATGGGTTACGCATTAAACAAGGAGCTCATGCGTGTGTGTGTGTCGTTAATGAGGCTATGTAAATAAACACTATATGAAGAACTAAAAACTGAATGAGTTCCCTTACTCACATAATCAGAGTATATGATTCAGGAGAAAAAAAAATAATCGGCACTTCCTAATACTGCTCTTCATTTTTGCACCTTATTGCTTTAACTGCACGAGGAAAAGAAAATTCACGAGGAAAGATTTAGGCCTACCGATATGGGTACGCCTATTTCTCTCTGCTAAGCATCAAGCTTATTATATACTAGTGCATTTTGAAAATAATAATCACTCATTTTTTTAATAACGAGGTTATGAAAATAGCGACGAGGAGCAAGTTCATATTTTGTCAAATGGGTACTGAGAAAATATCGTAGAAAAATGTGTGTAGTCGGTAGATAGTTTATTGTAAGGAGTAGGAAGGAATACTAGCTCTGTTGATGATTTGTTTTATTCGTGTTTTCCTTTAACTGTCTTGGTTTAAAGCATTTTGCTTCTAGAGTGTTGCTTTTGTGAACCGTTATGTAAATCAATTGTAAAGTTGTCTTTTTTGTTACATTTTAATGTGTTCGGAAAACATTTGGTTTCTTCGTTTCTTCTCGCCGTGCGCGCTTAACTTTTAACTACAGAATGTTGATAAATATATCCTGTATTTTTCAATGCCTTTGTTGCTTCTTATTAATTTCGGTGTACGCAGTAGGTTTTACCGGCCAGTTTTTATGCCGATTTTTTTTTTCTTGGCGTTTCCCGTGAGAGGGGAGATTGGGCCAACAAATCTGAGAGTATAAAGCTACCTTAACATCCTTCCATTCTTAAATGCCTTGTGAAAAATAATAGGTTGTTTTAGTTATTATTTTTCCAATGACAGACAAGTTAGTAAAAAAAATTCTTAACTCCTATGTTGGTTGCTTCTCTCTCACCCCTTCTCCTTCCTTGTGATTTATTACAAGAGTTGCTTATCCGAAGACGCAACTGTAGAATTTCAACAAAGTGTGAAAGTTTCGAACGCTAATGCCTCTATAATTGCCCGCGCTATTGGATATCATATGGCCCTTATATTTAATTACTAATTTCTGTCACTAATCTGCTTATTCTGGCCGTCTTCTTACAACTGAACTGGTTTTCGCTTATTGAAACTTTGCAAGCACATCTTGCGTGTGGCGAGACGTAGTTTTGTTATAGTTACTAGTTCACAAGTGTTGTTTATCCTGTAATGCAAAATGTAAATTTGTCTTTCATCAAAACATGTAGTTAAATAAAAAGACTATTCCACGGTTTTTTCAACTTTTGACTCGAAAATTCGTCAACACGGCTAAAAAGAACGCCTTGAAATTAGTAAAGATGCCAAGTTAGAGCGTGATTTGTTGAAAACTAAAGAAGATGTAGCTCTGCAAACTCGCCGCATTTTACTTACACCATACAAATGTCTGTGAAATTTTCTAGCCTGCGTGGCAGGCGCAAAAAGGGGAGGGGGAGGGGGGGGGGGGGGGGAAGGGTCCCCGGGTTGCGACGAAAAGCGGGGGGGATTAAGAATAAGGGCCATCTGACGGCGGCCTGGTGATGTAGGGGGTTTTTATAGGGTAAGGGGGGGTCGCATGGGGGTTTCTCTGTGGTGCGTTTTGCGGGGCTGGGGGGGAGGAGAAAAGGGGGGAGGGGGGGGGGGGGAGGGAGAAAGGGAAAAGAGAAGGGAGCCTCCCCCTCTCCCCAATCCCCCTCCCCTTTTTCCCTTCCTCCCTATCCCCTATCCCCTACCCCTTTCGACGCCTGCTACGCAGGCTATGAAATTTCGCGACTTTGTGGAGCAATATTATAGAGGTTAAGCATCGCGTTTACGTCAATCGGCAAACGCGAATTTGTACCACGGGTCCAAGTTTCCCCTTTACTTGTCGTTTACTGTTTATTATTTCAACACATAAATTAGTCGTTTCACGCAATTTTTTATCCATAAGAATTGTTTTGAGCTGTTTTTATCTGCTCATTTTCTATTTTGAGAAATTCTCAACTTGAATCTGCCGTATAGGTGACGGTTATCTCTCTATTTTCGCTCAGTTTTAATGTATCACCGTTAAATTCGGAAAGTGTCCTAATTATAAGGCACTTTTTTCATCACTGTGAACTTGTCTTAATCAAAACTTGAAAAAAAAAAAGGAAACCGTGGAAGTGTCTACTTTAAAGAAAACAGTTTCTCATAAGATGCAAGCTCAGCTTAAAGGATTCCATTATAATTGGCTTTGCTGCTCAATATCGTAACTAATGGCTTTTGAATTACTAACGTCTGTATCTAATTTGCTCCTTCTGCATGTCTTCTTGTAGCCCCGCCAAGATTAAGGAAAATGGCTGCAGCCAGTTTGGCTTTGATAAATCATGGCAACCAAACAGAACAGACTCTCCACTAAACAGGACGCCGGCCATGAAGGCACTCGACTTTAACTCTTCCGCTGTTCCTATGGATACTTCTAACGGAAGTGATAAAGTATTTAATGGCACTGAGGGTCTGTTACATTGCGGCAACCCTTCACTCTCCCATGCCACAGTAACCAATCCACATCTTCAAATGACGTAACAAGTAATTCTACAATGGTTCTTACAAAATTCCATTTCTTCTTAATTGACATTTATAAAAATCACTCTTAGTCTTAATCTGTTAACAGATTAATTAATAAATCGTTTCTTACAGTCTCTTCTATTTAATAAATTCTACGTAATTGTTAATTTGTCAGACGAGAGGTTGAAGTCAAGTTTGCCATACATATTTAGATGATTTTATACAAAATTTATTGTCTTAAAATTCTTTAAAGTTTAGTGAGAATATGTTTGCTGCGCTTAAATTACCGTTAATCCTCAAACCTCCCTCCCCCTCACCCACCGGCTTCCCTGGTGAAGAACATGTTTTCCTAATTTTTCTGGTAATCTATCAAACATGAGATGAACGTTTCATTGATGGGATTTTAAACACAATATCCTCCGCTGCGCGTAGCCCGCGAGCAAGCCCTTCCTCCCCACCCCCCGGGTATCCCCGGGAGCTCCGGAAGAGCTTGCTCGCGGCTACGCGTAGCGGAATATTTCTGATTAACCACGCAGGCGTCGAGTGTTTGATGAAACTTCTGTGCCAAACAATTTTGGAGGAGAAGAAAAAGGGGTGAAAACAAGTCGTTTTTCAAAGTGCCTCCAAACTATTTGGCTATTGAATTAAAAATGAGTTTGAGGATTGTGGAGAAGGAAATCTTTCTCTTTTGACAACTGATTTGACATGTCAGAGTATAATCATGTAAAGTATTCACTTCCAAGAATTAACGTCTTGAGTGATTAAATGACCAACAGGCTGTTGAAACGTGGGGGGTTTAGTTGGGGGGGGGGGGAATTTGAGGGTTTTCGGTATGCCACCGTTGGCAGTATGCTTAGAGAAATTTAGGAAATTTAAAATATATTTCGGTTGGATTCATTTGGAGCGTATAGCCATCTCATTTGCTCGTTGGAATTCACCACTTTAGACAAGAGAAAGGAACTGGAACTGACATGCGTCCCGCAATGGTCTCTGGGATCGTTACTGGGGACGCGCCGTTCAGCTATTGGCCAATTTTTTTTAACAGTCCCAGAAGCCTTTGCAAAAGTTAACTCGTCCCAGTTTTCTTTTGTCTGTAAAAAAAATTTCAACGGGTAAATGGGACGCCCAGACGTGTATGCTGCAAATTGACCCACCTTTTCCAATATTGACATTAAATTACATAAAAATGCACGTAATTAATTTAAAACACATGCTGTTATTTATTGTTTTCACATACCCGGCCACAAACTTTTCAACATTTAAGACATTGTAACTAAAAGGCTGGTCCGCAAGCATTGACTAAAATGATGTACATACGGATACAAAATTCTTGCATTGTGCATTATGTTAGTTGTAAGGAGTACAGTTTGAAAGAGTATGGTTTGAGCAAATGATGAAGTTTTGATGACATATTATATGATTATAATGAACGATAATTTATTTCAAAGGATAGTCAATTAGTCGATACAAAAATGTTGATCTTGAGGTGTTTACAAATTTAGACGTAATTTCTGCACAGCGCTCTATACTCCGTGTTAAAAAAAGCTCGAAAAGTGGCTAAAAATAATTTATTAAAGGTGCGCTGATACTTTGGTTGTTCTAGCAGAGAGAGTATATTTTTACAAAGGTAGAACATGAATCAGCCCTTATAGGTTTTAGAATGTTTTAGTTCTAGAAGCAGTTTTGAAAGGAGTTCGCTTGCTTGTTTTTTTATTTATTTGTTAGGCTAACTTGTGTAGACCTCAGCTATATATTTAGGACATTAATGAATGTTGACTTAACTAACCAACGAGAGGCATTTTAAGCCGCAAGACTGTCGAATAACATTTCTGTTCACGCAGAGAGTAAGACATTCCCTTCACTTTCATCACGTACAATCGTCCCGAGAAAAATTAAAAACAATTCTTTTGCAAACGTTTGGAGGGAAAACAAAGAGTTTAATGGTATTTTTTAAGCAAGGTCTATGATGGGGCCAATTTTTTTTAATTTTACCTACAACAAAAATTACCTCCTGCAGTGATTATAGCTTACTTATCGTAAAAAATCGTGTGCACGAACTGGAAATGGAGTTCAATTGTTTGTTTGAATGTTTTTTGCAGAAAATTCTTAATGGTAACAAAAATCAGAAGATTTTAGCAAAAGTAGTTTTCTCTGCCAAGTGAATCCCTACAAATTAACTCAGGAATTCAAACAATTTTTAATCGATTGAAATAAACTGCCGGACAGACACTGTACAAATGTTTCCAAATACACAAATAAGATGGTTATATCTTTAGCTTTTCCCTCATTCACAGTCTCTAATGCAGTCTTTATTTTCTGTCACGCAACTTCACGAGAGTGGCGTGACAACCCAAATGTAAGCTTTATAGGAGTCTACTTACCCCAAAGTGACTTTGTATAAATTCAATGCTGCTACAGTGTTTCATGTTACAGTTCTTTTTAAAGAGCTACAGTCTCTGCATCATGAATCATCAAGCCTTCATTTCAGGTCATCCATAATCCTTGATAGTTAGTTGTCTATTGCTTCTTGTGAGTGCGTGTGTCTGTTTTTTGTTCCTTTCCTTCCTTTTTGTCCAACTAATATTCCGGGGTTTGCAATTGCAAGATAGTTTTGTATCTTCAAACGTCAAACTCCTCCGACTATATTCGCAGTTATCATATTGCTAATGTCTTATTGCTAATGTATCTTGTACGATTAGTTGTTTTCTTTAATGTCGTTTTTATTCAGCAACCTTGTTTTGGAACAACCATTCCTCGTGACTTAATACCATGTTCAATACTGTTCACATTTGTTTGTATCTTTATTATGTACGAGTTAGCTGTTAAGAACCTTGCCTGTTTGTAGAACATTCAGTTAAAGCTAAGAATTAATATTTATCTTTATAACGTTAGCTCTCTATTTATTTTAAAGTCTTAAAACTTGAAAAGGTTCTTGACACCAGTGGGACCAAGGGAAGAGTAATAACAAAATGGAACACGGGAAATTGAGATTCGCCGCTTTTTGTATTTCTAGGATTCTTTTCGGTGGTCCCAACTGGTAGCAAGATCTGTTTTCAGGACTTTACTGAAAACTGCTGTATTAAATAGTACTGCGTTGTAGATAGGATAGAATATATGAGCTTAAAAGTTATTTCTTAAAGAATATTGCGACAATAAACGTGACGTGAAAACTGGAGGTTATTTGTTCTGGCGCGGTTGTATTCATCGGTTTGTAGGGGAATGTTGATTACTTTGTCCATGACACTAGTGAAAGAGTGGTTGTTAGAAAATCTTTAAAACAGTTCAACCTTCAAGTCCCCATACTGACCAGCATTAATTTTCTCCTAGCATTTCCCCTACATAATTAAAAGAAAAGGTTATGAAAAAAATAAATAAATAAAAATAAACACCAAGGGGGAAAGCTTTGATCTCTTATCAAATTCTCTCGACATATTCTTCAAAGAAAGGCATTGAAATCAACTGGAGAATTCGCATTTTGATATTGGGGCTTAAATGAATAAGCGAATATGCGTTTTTTGTTATAAAAGACGTTAAGTGCCATACGGTAAAACCCCACGACTAAGAACCTGGATTTTTCCAATTTAGCCTAAACAGGTTGAGGTCACAGATGTAATAAATGGTGCTAAATGTAATGACGGTTACAACACTGTAATGAGGGAGGAGTGGGTCATAAGGGTCACGTGATTGTGTAATAGCGATGAGGGTGGGTCGCATTTGTAGTCAGGGATGAGTCACAAATGTAGGCAGCCCGGTCACAAATGTGGGGTGCAAGCAACGTTAACGTTGGTGAAAAGCGTCTTTAGGACTTCAATTGTTTACATTATAACACAGAATGGGTCAAAAATAACCTGTAATTAAGTTTTTAGATGTGATATCAATCAAGGGGTAAATTTCCTAAGGTAATACTGTTAATTCTTAAGAAGAAGAGGTGATTTATAGTTTCCCAATAGTGACCACATTATACAATACTATGTTATTTGATAGAAAATATGAACGAACGTCACCTTTGTTTGATACTCGGTATAACATTGAAACTTTGATGAGGAGGGAAACGTGCGCAGCGAAGACACGGATCTCATGGTTACTTTTGTTCTTACAGTATGGAATGAACAAGCTGCTGGAACCTGAATTCCACCGTGGTGAAGTTTCTTGCGTGACTGGTCGTCATGAAGATGATCATACAGATCACGACTGTTAATGATGCAACTCTTGCCACTTGACGAATAATTCTTTCTAAAGCTAGCAAATTAGACCAATAGCAGCTTTGTATTTTTTTCATGAAATTTATAATTTAGTTTACATTATTTATGAAAATAGATTTGAGGTTTAAGGCCGACTTTTAAAAAAGGAGAGGATCTTTGTAAGTGGAAAGCGGGGAGGTTGAAGCGCGCGAGTATGCCTTTCCTTTGTCTCTTCTCAAAACAAAAATTGAGGTTGAAGTCGATCCTTTCAAAAACATTCCCGGCGATTATTTAGGCTTAATAGTGCCGGGAAGGCGAAGGCCTTTCATGGGGGGTTTCAAGTATGCCATCTGACGAATTTTCTCTACTATTTTTTTATTAGTATTATTTTTTCGAGTTCAAATTTTGGGATCATAAAACGTTTCTGGGAAACTGCCCACCTACCCCTCCCTTAAGCCAACATGTTGCCCTAAGTGAGAAGTAAGTGTTAATGCTGGCTCATGGGAGGGGTAGGTGGATGCAGTTTCCCAGAAACGTAAAATGATCCAAATTTTGTTGTGTCTCTTCGGTGTGAATTAATTTTTGTGCTGAGAGAATGGAGAAAGGAGACTTGCGACACTTAATGTGAGTTACATCCTGGGTCATCGGTCTCTTTGTAGGTTTTGTTCTCAGCCTTATTGGACATTTGGCCTCGATCGCACCTCCCCATCACTGAGAACCTCTCGCTCACTCTTGTTCTTAAAACAATGACTCGTATTTCAAATTTACGTCATCTATGACCAGGTTACTTCTGTAAACGTGTTTTACGACTTCTTAGATTTCTTGGTAACACTCTGAAAAAAGAAAATGTAGAAGAACTTTATTTTGAAAAAAGAAGATTATATAGCTTTTTAGAATCTAGTAGTGCCTTAGGCACCGCGTATTAAAACCCAACGAGAGCGTTCCGTTTTACTTAACTTCTTATACATAGTTAAAGGACTATGAAAGAGAATAATGTGTTTCAATCATTGAGACAAATAATGAAAACTACGCAAACTCTTCTACAACAAATTTCTTATAAATGACTACAGTACAACTAGATTTAATGTATTACATTTGGATTGAGATAAAACTGGCGATGCAGCCCCTATTTAGTTTAGTCTATGGCAAGCAGATACGACTTCATCAGTATCAACAACGTTTTATGGAACTTTGATTCTATCTCTTTTAATAAAAAATAACCGGAGAATATGTTGAGAAAAACACGCACACATTTAACATACCACCTCTTACCCCGCCCCTACCCCCTCTTGCCCCTTCCCTCCACACTTCACTGTTTGACACACTCCTCGAATAACCCTATCTTCCCTTTTTCTGTATTTAAATATAGCACTAGTAAATCTCCAAAGGTTACGGAGTGCGTTCGACAACGGTAGAAGGTCAAAACGCTTTTGCTCAAACGCTGTGCTTTGCGTAAATTTCACGTGATAGATGATCAAAACACGTGAACGACACACACGTGAAGACATGACAAGTGATAGAAGGTCCGAACCTGCGTTGATCACAGATTTCCTTCGAGGCATGCAATTCATTCTTAGTGAAAGTCCAAACGAAGCTGCCTACATCTGAGCGTCGGTGCATGCGTAATAGCAACCTGCAGGCTCCTCTTGTCTCCCGCAACAAAGGATTTACCAAGGCAAATGGGGCCGAGGCTACTTCTACACGAAACCAGGTAGCTTTCTATAGACATGAAAAGCTATCCGGCACAATATGAATGGCAACACAAGTCGGAGTGGTTGGCCGAGAGGGCTAAGTGCACTGTAATGTGTAATCATTACACTAGGTTTCTGTTTTCCCCTCCACACTGTATTTAAGACGAGGACGTAACCACCCCCCAGTTAGTTCAATTAGATAAGCGCCGGTCTGCCGAGCGGAAGGTCGCGGGTTCAAGCCCCGGCCGGATCAACACTCAGGCTCTTAAAATAACTGAGTAGAATGTGCTGCCTGTTGTGACATCTACAAATGGTTATTCATTCTAGTCTTCTTGGATGAGGCCAAAAAACCGTAAGCCCTGTCTCACAGCTCTTTCACTGTTCTGATTGTTGTGGAACGTGAAAGAACCCACACTGCTGTTCGTAAAGAGTAAGAGGCGTAGACCCCGGTGGTGTGGTACAACCTTTCGTCGACTGGGTTGGCAATGAAGGGGTTAATATCAGTAGGGACGCAAGTCCTGTTTTATCCCCTGTCACCGTGGCGAATTCAAAAAAGTAAGGCCTAGGCCTGCTTAATCAAGCAAATTGACAAAAAAATCACACTGTTGCTTTATTTTTATCAGTATCTTAGATAACTATACACTCTTTCTATACAATATTAAGTTAAAATATAACTTAGCGTTTCACTCTGAATAAAATACGGCAATAAAAATATGAATACAAAATGATAAGAACCATATCCTCGGCTAGACCTCACTATGTCGTTCCGAAATTTTATGAAGGCTAAGACAATGTAAGTGTTTTTATCAACTTTCTATGAGAACCCAACCGGAAGTTTGTCATGTACAGCTTACATTGTTTAAAACTTAAAAATCTTTTTTTTTTTCCAGATTTCGACTATGGCTTTTGGAAACGAAAAAAGCTTTCAATGCTTCCGAAAACAGTGTTCACGACAGTTATGGTAAATTAATATCAACCAATCTCAACGTTGTTCCAGTAAACCCATTAAGTGAAAGCAACTTATCGCGGACTTCAATGAGTTTGCCTATTGCTTTGGTTTTCTATCAGGGCCTCATTTACACGGTAGCCATATTGTCCCGAGAGACTGAAAAAAGCTCGTACGAAACCCCTTCAAAGGGGCGCTAAAATACAAAACGATACACCTAGGTATACTGTATAATAGCGGTCAAAAGATTTCTTATATAAAAGAGATCACATCACAAAATGGATAAAAGTGACGTATAATATTATACAAAATCAGGGCCCAGTTGTTCAACGCCAAATTTAGCTCGACTAATTCTTAAAACTGTCCAGTGTCAGTGTCGCATTTGCTCGCTGGAATTTTTTTATTGTTTTTGAATAATAACCCATCGGCAAATGAGACAGCTATACGCGAATGTTGAAAAATAATTCACTCTTATGTGTCAGTAAAGTAAGGTGCATTTATTTGCAGCACACATATGAGTCAAAATTCGAGTACCTGTTTACTTTCATTTCTTTCACGTTACACGTGTCAGATGGTGTGCGATAAATTTATGGAGCTTTCAAATGTAAATGAGTCACGTGTAATGGTAAATTCAAAGAAGCAGTGACAAGCACTCTGAACGGAGCTAACGTGGCAGCCAGGTAAGATTGTAAATATTTGTTGTTCTCTGCAGCGTTAAAATAACTTCCTGTCATTTCTCAATATGGCCATAGCTGCTGTACACATTACTTTTTTGAACAAGCTGACAGCTCCCACGGGCAGTGTTTGGGCTCTTATCGAAGACACCTATACCCGTACGCTGCAAATATACCTAATTGAGTAAGGGTTACTTTAGCAATTGGGCATTTGGCTTTTGGGCCTAGCGAACTCACTGCAATAATTTGCTTAAATGACCGCCAACGGTTGAAGTGTGAAACAAATCCGATTGAAAATCCACAAAATTACCCGCGAACGCACCGGTCAGAGATGTGAGGGAACGGACTTAAGCGAATTTTTTCCGCAAAGCATCATGGGAAGACGTTTCAATCCTCCTTGAATGAGCGCCAAACATTAGCCCCTCACAGTGCGCAAAGCCCAACGCCTAAAGCCACCTTTATTGAATCAGGTACATATCCACCCTACGATTACCATACCGCATTTAGTTTTCTCGCATCTAGAATATATACGATGTTTTCGCTAAATTTGGCGTATTTGAATGGAATATGGCCAAGCAAAGGCACGTAAGTCATATTTCAGTGGACTATGAATCAATGGCACTGTTATCTGGAGTTGTCGATTATTTTCCGTTGTAATGAGGCGTAAGCTCGTTCCAGCTTCATGTTTTCCTGAAAAACCAAAAATGAAATCATCAACATAAGGCCTCTGAGATCGCAGTGAAGAGTTGGCTGTTTCACGTAAAAACGGCGACAGTCTTGGGTTTATTTGTCGTTCGGTGGGAGGGAAGGGGGTTGGGCGGGGGATGGGGTTAGGAGAGATTAGGGAACTAGCCTGCTGAGTATCAGGCTTTCCTAAGGAGCTACGGGAGAGGAGATTTTATATGGGGGAGGGGGGCTATTAGGGAACATGACTCAAAAGTCGTGAGGCCTTAAAGAAATTTATTCGAGCGATTCATTTATTTTCACTGCCGAGCGCCCTGCCATACTCTTCAAACCCTGTAAACAAATTGAACCCCTTCAGCGTCATGTTTGACAGTACTCCCGTAATGATCTACACTTAGTATGGGCGGCATGCACAAATGGATCACTCACGATACGCAAGAGGGAAGAGCTACATTACCATCCTTACCTTGGTAGCATGTGTGAGCATTTTCTGTAACTTGGTCATTTCCATCATCTTTTGACTTAACATGGCGGCATTTCTTTGCGCTTTGTCTTCCGACATCTATAGAAAGACAAAATTTATAGGGTAACGGACTTATATAACCTAGAAACAAATCCCGTTTCGAGCAACTAAGTTACACAGAAAAGCGGGAAAAGAAAACTTGGGTTACTGAAAAGTGTATGCTTCAGTACGCAAAACAAATTAAAAAACACCGATTCCTGTAGCCCCGGGGGAGTACTTCGGATTACAAGTGACGGGGATGATCGAAGGATTTTTTGGGGTTTTAATTTTCGACTCCGCGGATGTTTGGGTAGGAAAATTTGGCAAGTATTTTTTAGGTGGCTCGATTTAAGTAGGGATTTTTAGGGGTATTCAAAACAATGTGAAGATTCCTGGTAGTTCACCCTCGTACCCCGGCCGCGTAGTGCTGCGAATAAAGTATCCTTATGGCATTTTTTTTTTTTTTTTTTTTTTGGGGTTGTTGTTTTGGGATCGTGATGGGTGGGGTGTAGAATTTTAGGTTTATTTTTTTTGGGGTTCTGTTTTGGGGGGGTGGTTTGTTGGGGTTTTTATAAAATTGTGTTATTTTTGGGTGTTTCTTTCCTGTCCCCGGGGTGTGGGTGTGTTGAAAAAATTTTCTCTTTGTTTTTTTTTTTTTTTTTTTTTTTTTGGGGGGGGGGGGTTATTCTTGGATTTTCGCTGCACGACTACAAAGTGAAAGTGCCTAATTTCTCGTTTCGTCGAGGACGTGAAGATAAGACAACGACTTTATTTTTCTTTTCCTGAACTTTGATACAGTCGTTTAGAATTGAACTCCAGAAAAATTTGACAACATTTGACGAATTGAACGAGATAAAATAAGCGCGATAAAGTTTGAAGCAGCGCGAATTCACTTTTTAAATGACGTTTTCGTAGTCGTCGCCCTCGTTGTTGCTTTAGCCCCCTGTTGAGATCAAACTCTTCCAATGATCGTCTGTTAACATACAACGCTATAACCACGATACCTTAAGTGCAGCATGAAGCCTCCTCGAGTCTTCCTCACTCGCGTTAAACTACAAGCAGTATCAAAAAAAAAAATTATTAGTAACGATCACATTGATCATGCAAATCACGAGAAGAAAAAGAATGAAGAAAAAAATTAAAAATTTAAAAGTACAATCAAACCTCCCTAGAAAGGACTCCTTGGGGAGTGGGGACAGAGGCACTTGGCCAACCATTGCGGGGAGGTGTCCGTTGTTTAGGGATCAGAACAAGAGTGAATGTGTTCGCCGGAACAAACAAAAGAACCCGGTTGCATAAGTTCGAATTTCCTCTTCAAAAACTCTTTCTCGAATGATCACCGTCAATTTGTTCCAGCCAAAGATTTTTCCAAGGCTGACTCTGAAATGTTCAATTACACACATGCGAATATAACACGCGGTCACTATACTACGTCTATACTATACTACGTCTTAATCACAGTAAAGGTTTTCCAACGGAAGATCCTCTTGAGGACTGACCCTAAATTGTTCGATCATACATACGCTCTGCGAATATTACACGTGGTAACCATACTTCCGCCTTACCGATTCAGTCGAGACTACACTACAGTGGCTATCATTTAGCGACTCGTTCTCGGATGACTTGCGCAGACTGTCATTCTGAGCCCGCAGTTGCTGCACTCTGCCCTGTAAGTGACGTAACAGCCTTGCTGTGCTGGTATCCTCTCCAGGCCTCGGACTGGGTGTTGTCGAGCTGAGACTGGTACCTACACCGCTCTCTGTTGGAGATGAATGGCCGTTTACCATGGGGCTGCCGACTGGGGTCTGGGTAAAAAAGAGGTGGTATCATGGTTAATGTCTTACTTTTAAGGAAAACTAAGAAGATTTTTGGTTTTTGTTTACTTACAGCAGCCTTAGCTTGCTTCAGTTCCTTTTCTAAACGATCGATGGTTTTCTGATAGGCCTAAAAATATAATATAAACATTAGTTATTACAAGGCAACTGAAAACAACCTCGTTCCCAGGATTGTCTCTTTCTCCCGGAAACGAGGTTGGACCGCAAAAATCTTTACGGGCTGAGACTCATTCACAGTCAGTAAATGACTTACCGTTCTCTCGGATTTGACCTGCAGCGCGTTTTTCTCACTTTCTTCTTGAAACTGCCTGTTAAAAAGCAAAGACATGGTGTTACAAACTTTCTAAACTCGTTAATAAGGCATCTATAGAGGCTTGAAACTCGCCAACCAAGTGAGAAAAGCAATTGGCGTTCGTCGCTATTTTCTTGGAAACCAACAGGCGAAGCCTTGAAACAAAACAGTACTGACAGGATATAATCACCTAAAGCAATCAACGCGAGCGTGTTATCGAAAATGCAGTGAACAAAATTGCCGAATAATTCACCTTTTTAATCACAAGAGTGTCTAGAATATATATTTGAATATGACTCGAATACGAGAGAGAATCAAAAAATAATTAAATGTGAAAAAAAAAAACGCACCGAGCAAACTGCACTCAAAGAGATTTCATTTGGATTGGTACACACTATTTATCCTAATACACCGTACACAGACTCACAAGAGCTAAGTTTTTGAAGTTAATCCCAGAAACGAAAGGGTTTTAAAAGAGAAAACAATTGTTTCAACTTACTTTTTCAGTCTAGCCAATTCCTCCTCCTAGTCAAGAGAAAGAAAAAAAGCAGTATTGGGCAATTTAACATTAGAAAGAGCCTTTACGAGGACAAAAGTGCCAGAATATGGAAGGGTACTTCCGCAGATACGCATTAGCTGAATCTACTGCATGGTACTACTGGAGTGCAATGTTGTTGATCTATGCCACACATATCGCATCGGGGGTGTATTCCAAAGACCTTGAGATAATTAATTAGAATAACTGCTATATGAAACAAATCCTAAATACTGAGTGCAACAGTATATTAAACCAAACAACAATTGACTTAAGTGCGTTAAAAACTCAATAAGGTGTGTGTATGTTACCTTAGCACCAAGAGCTTTCTTAAACAAATACACTTGCTGGGGAGTGAGATCTCCGCTGCTTTGCTGCTGTAGAACAGAAGGAAAATAACGGCAACAGTTAGATAGGCATATCAGGTAGGTACTTCATGTACACTATAAAAATCATATATGAAGTAACTACCTTATGTCATCTTACTACCGCTGTCACGCTGCACTGCGGATGATTAAGTGCAGTCGCAAAAAAAGCAGGAAAAAGAAGGTTGCTTAACAAAAAACCTGCAACTATTGTCTGGCTAGAAAATGATTTTTGATCGATGATGATGATGATTTTTGGTCGACCTGAAACGGACTTGTAGACCGTCTAACCTCCTGAGAACCTGAGAACCAACTCCTGAACTCCGCGAGCTACTCACGCAACTGAAGGACCAAAACTACCAAGACGGCTTTGCCTCGAAACTACTTCACTCGCTTCGTAACACGAACGAGGTTGCATTCTCGACAAGAAGCCTTATGGTGGCGCCTCCTTTCATGATTCCGAAAGCTCGAGCAGTACAGGCCACTCGAGGATTAACAAACAAGAGAAGATAAATACCTGTTTTTTGAGGGCCAGTTCTCTGTTGTTTTGTTCAAGCTCTTTTCGGGCTTCTATCAAATGCTGTCTTAGCTCTTCATTGTATGAACGGAGATTTAGCTGCAAGCGATAAGAAACGAATAAAAACTCGGACCTTTTTTGGTCGACGACAATATAGGAAAACCAAAAGAAAACCCTGTAGAATTATTCATACTTAAGCTTCTAACGGCTCTAAAACTATTCCTCCCCCACCCCCCTTCATCACCACCACCACTAACAACTATTCCAACTTTTAGAAAACGTAATTCATAATTACCAGAGCATCTTTAGCAGGACTGTCCGTGGTCGACCTGGGACTTTCACCAACATAGCTGCCTGATAAATTTCTGAGCAAAACAAAACAACATAAAACATAACTTTGTGAGGGTTTTGTTTGACAAAGGATGAAGAGAACATCTCGCGGCAAATGATGTCTGACGTCTATTTACCTCACAGGGGTGTTGTTGGCAGAATCCCCAATCAGTGCCGCTGTTTTTCGACATTCTTCGTTAATCTCCTTTGCTGTTTCTTTCTCCGTTGTTTCTACTAATGCGCTCAACTAATGAAAACAACAGCCGACGTAAAGTTACTCACTTAGAGATATCACAAATAAAACTATCGCATTAACTCCACCCAAGCCGGTCACCTTTAATACGCCTTAAAATCTTCAAAAGTCGCGAATAGTTAACAGGAATAACAGTCGTTGTCGTTGCTTAAGCTCTCTAACGGAAATAGGAGACGTCGGCATCACGCAGGTTAAAAATGGTTAAGAATTCCAACTGGCAAGAGCGCGACGTGAACCGAGGGCCTCCGGATTACAAGTCCAGCGGTCTAACCGCTGGCACACGCTTCCTCAGCTCATTGAAAATACAAAGTTTGTTTCGCATAAATTACCTTTAGTCAAGGTAAAACTGAGAAAAATTCAATTACCTCCTGAATTTTGTCTCTCATTGTCACAATTTCCGTTTTAGCTTCGTTCCTGACGTGTGCAACAGCTTGCACCTTCTCTTGTTCAGCTTGCAGGTTTAACTCGCGCAACTTTTCGATTTCCTGTTGGTCAACAATAAAAATAGAGTTTATAAAAAAAATCTTTAAAATTTCCAGGATATTTGTGTTGTCAGAGCTTTTCTACGAAAAGAAAAACGCCGGCCTGTGGATCTCAGCTAGACCAGGCTGTTTTAAGCAAAGGAATATTATTTGCTTAGTGCTTGCTGTACTTCGTTAGTCACAAGGCAACCCAGGGAACCCATTGCAATTCACTGGTATCCTCTTGTACTACTTTACAGGTTAGTGAAAGAACGACAACGTGAAACAAAGTCTAAAAACACAACAAAATACTACACAACAGAAGATACAAAGCTTTAAACAATAGACCTTCACATATGAAATCCACCGCACAAACCATCGATTAACGCCTCCAAAGGGATGTTCTGATTGGTTAAAACAGGGGCAAATTTTGGCCAGTCAGAACAAACGTTGGGTTTACCAGAGAGTGCAAACCCAAATAATACCTGCTCCATAAATGCTCTCCAAACGATTGTGCCAAGCGGCTCCTTAATTTTTCTTGCTCGGGCAGGGTTCATGGCTTTCTTCGGTAAGGATTCAGAAGGCCACTTGTCTGAGCAATTACTCATCACACAAGTGCGCAAGAAAACTTGCTTTTTTCGACCTACGACATGCTCAGCACAAGCGGGGAGGGGGGGGGTGACCAAATGTTTCTTTGTATCTGACGCGTTGGATTTTTTGGTTTAGAAGCTCAGTTGAGTTACACAACCGTTAGTTATACAAACACGAAACTAACAGAAGCTGCTAAAAACTAACCTTTTTAATCTTACTGACAGAGACATTCAGGTGATTATGACCTTGTCTTTCGGCCTCTAACTCCTCTCGCACTTGTTTTAAGGCAGACTCATATTTGTCGCGTATCTCCTCTAGTTTTGTCTGGTGCCTGGTGCGTTCGCGGTCTGCTGTTTCGCGCTCTTTTTCCAGCGCATTGCGAATCTGACGAAGTAATATTTAACATTAAAAACTGTCAAAATTAAAAAAAGGGCATTACTACCGTTGTGCCTGAAAGTCATGTCCAAAAAAATATGCTCTCGTCATAACTGATAATTACATAATACATAATTTACCACTACGAGTATTGTCTTTATTCCACAGGGATATAGTAGAGCGAGCGACTAAAATACGCGTCGTGTCGCTTTCCTCGCGGTGGCAATTTTCACTAGTACTCTCAGAAAATGAAAATAAGGATCGCTTCGCAGTGTGGTTAAATCAAGTGGTGCTGTAAATTTGCGCACAGAAATACAATTCCCTGATCCACGATTCTCATAACAAGCGAACTGATTTGCCTACTCTTAAATCAAGTTTTCGACCACGTTAGGTTAGGCGGAATATTTGCTTGTCTCTAAGTACTATTTTGTGTGGAGGGACTGGAGTGTAAACTAGATGAAGCTGCTGAACTTCAAACATAAACAAAATTTTAAAATTTTCCACCTTTAATACCTGTCACTATAAGGAAAAAACGTTTTACTGTAACTCAGATAAAGAAGAGACACGTCAACAATCGTGGCATGATGAAACACATTTTTTCGCGCTCGGCAATAGCCTGCGAAAAGAGGATAGCTCGGCACTGCTTACAATTTTTTCTACCAGCTGATTGGTTCGTTGGATTACTAAGTCTGTTGTGATTGGTCAGTCTGCAAGGTGGAAATGCCACGAAAATGACTTAACAAAGTACAATGTGTACAGAGTGTGTACAGCACTCAGAATCTCGAAGATCTAACGTTTACTTACGTGTTCTTGTGCCTCATTTCTCATCTTCTCGCCTAGTAACCTCGTTGCGTCTTCTTGCTGTCGAACTAGACCTCGTAACATTGCGATCTCATCATCCTTATTCTGTGGGAAGCAAGACGCCTTGGGTTCAGCGTTTCTTTTTTCAGTTTTTACTGGTAGTTGGAGTTAAATGGTGAAGGTTCTACTACAATTGACGGTTTAACAGTCAAACCAGCCATCTGTTCGCCCATCCTCACTCAAAAGGTCACACTATACAAACGTGAACAAAACTTCTTGATTTACCTTGACTATTTGAGAGAGTTCTTCTGATCGCGAGGAAGATTTATCTTCTACCCTTCTAAGTTCCAGCATTTTTTGCTCAAGAAGCTGAAAATCGGAGCCATAAGAATTATCAACCACACAACAATGAAAAAAAAAAATAACAGAAATATATCGCCTTGCAATACAGACATTTCTAGAACTGACTCACTTTCATCCGCCGATCGGGAAAGTTTTAGTGTTTGCTAACGGTTACGCTAACTAGCATGAGAGATATTACTATACCTCCTCAGTTTTCCGCTGTTTCTCGTGTAGAGCTGCTTCTTTCTCGTTTAAGGAGTCAATCTAAGAACAAAGTGATAAAAGAGACATTATTTACAAACACGACAGGGCAAGAATTGGTGTACGTTTCTTAGGTCATTTTATAATTTAACTTCTGACATTTTCATAGGCGACTTACCCACTTTCAAGATAGAGGTGCAGCGCTTAAAGATCTAAAGGAGTTCTGTACAGTATCGCAAATGATCCCCAACCGCAAATGATCCCGAGACCGCAAATGATCCCCAAAATGGACCGCAAGTGATCCCTAAAGTCGACCGCAAATGATCCCGTGAAAAGTTGAGGAATGGAATGGATTTTATGGGACTGATTACAAAAAAGGACTGGTTATAAAAAAGAAACCTTTTTCTCTCGCCTTTTAAAGAAAAAGGGAAGGAGGACGCTACAACCCAGGTCAATTTATACAAGGCGAAAAAAAAATGGAATAAATCTGAAAAGGTATGGTATTAACCGTATACTTCTTCCTTTGTCGATTGCTTCAATTTTCTTTCAAGAATGTTTCGTCTTTTGAAAAATTTAAGACAGGCAGGACGTTACGTAGAAAAATTGTTTTAACGCCTAGAAGCTCAACCTTTCTGTTGAGGAATACAAAGCCGGGCACCCTCTACCTAACAAGAGCTTTATTGACTTTACTGATCTTTTTGAAAGCGTGAAATTAATCAGCCAGAATATTTCATTTTGATTTTTCTCTGAAGTGTTAATTTTACCTGATAAACAGCAAGACATTTGTTCGTAACTTAGGTGCCCGTTACGAAACAAGACATGATTTAACATAAACACAAGTCAAAATGCCCCCGAACTTATCAATGTCCACAGGTTTCGGTTTATTCCGAAATAGCAACTTTCTTACATCTCATGGACGTGTTGTGAATAGTTATATTAGCGTTTTTATGTATATTCATTTGTTGTGCTTTGCTGAAGACAGTTACCAGAAATCTAAACCTGGTAATGAGAAACGCAAAGCCAGGTAAGCGGTAGTTATCACGTGACAAAACATCGTAAGAAACCGTCACATTCACGGACTAAAAGAAAATCGCTTATGATTATTCGGATCCAGGAGGCACTTAGGAGAAAATTAAACAACCTAAAACCCTTATTTAGCGGCAATGAAGAGCACTGCATTTCAAAAGAGGTAAAAGGAAATGCTCTTGTATCAAAGGGCAAATAATGCCGACCAGAAACAACAATAACCGCAGAAAATGCGTGTCATGACCTCTCACTATGAAATAAGCAGCAAAAATCACATTTGCTCAGTCAATACGTTTTCCTCAGAGGTATAATCTACCCGCCAGAGCCGGAAAAAAGTCATTGGAACAAGCAGCATTTTAGCATGAGGTAAAAGTCGTGTGTTGCCTACCTACTTCGTTTTTACTCTTGAATGATTTTTTCCATTTAGTTTTTATTCATATATTTATTTGAGAAGTAAAATTTAGCTTTTAACCTGACCTATTGTAATAATAATAAAATCGACACGATGATCCGCACACTTGAGTCCAAGCCATTCCTATTTTTCTTTCGGGATCATTTGCGGTCGACATTGGGGATCACTTGCGGTCGAGGATCATTTGCGGTCCATTTTGGGGATCATTTGCGGTTGGGGATCATTTGCGGTACTGTACAGTTCACATTAAAGCCATATGCGCCAAAGAAATACTTGGCCTGAATCCATTCATCATCAAAGGCCGGTCGACTGGTTTTGTAATTATTTCAATTTCCTTACATTTTTTAAGTTTGACTCTGAGCGTTGTACCACGTATTTTACTTGGAACGAGGAAATTCAGACGAAATTACTTCTTGAAAACAGTTAACCTATCATAATTAATTTAAACGGGGAAAAAGTTGTACCTCGATTTTTAAAGACTTTGAATGAGTGTCTTGTTTTGCTAAGTTTTCTTTCCACTCGCTCTCGCATTCAAATAACTTCTGTTGTTCTTGAAACACTTGCGTCTTTAGGTTTGTTATTTGTTCCTCGTAGTCTTTAACGTCATTTTCTAGTTGATTTATCTTATGATCTCGACCCTGAAAAGCAGAAAAACAATTAAAATCAAATCAGAGATTAAAACTTTAAAAAATGCCATTGAAACTACAGTTAGGGCTTTATGCTTTGTTTCCTCGCACTATACTGGTCTGTGATCTCTTAAACGTCGCAGAGTTAAATGGTGATGAGATTACTTTATTGCGTGTCATTCACTTAAATCAAATCGGGATTAAATCCTTTAAATAAACACCAACAAAGCACCCACAACAGCCACAAATACTGGTATTTCCCTACTGACACTAAATGAACAAAATTCAAATACGAAAAAGAAATTTACACATGCAAACCATATAGATTTATACAAGTATAAATAGATTTATACAAGTAGTCACTACTCATCAGTTATAAATTGTAGGTCACTCCCACTACATTTATACTTCAGTCGAACCTCACTCAAAGTTTACTCCTATCCAACTTTTACCTCAAAAAAGGCCGTGAAGAAAAAATGGTCTGAGTAACAGCTTTTCGGCACTATCTTCACATGTTCTACCGATATCGGATCTTTACCTGTAACTTTTTGTTGAGTTCTTCCCTGTCTCTTCGCGATTTCTCTCGCAATGACTCCAACTCCACTTCTTTTTCCTGTAAAAATGAATTACTACTGAGTACAGAAATTGATAAGCTCTAATTCGATACGGACCTTACGGCTCTGTGGATCTTTGAGAAATTCTCTAGAACTACATCACATATCAGTGAAACAAACGTTACTATCGACTGAGCCGTTGCGCGTTTTGAGGGTAAAGATGACCAAATCCACAAAAAAACATAAAGCAAATGGCTCCACTACATACTAAAATTGCGTGTCTCTCAATGAACCTCGGGAATCTCCGAGGAATACGGCCAGCTATAAGTTAACTATGAACTGCCAGTTTGTTTAAGGAAGGCTACTGACATCGGAAGAGGAAACGTAAGAGGTTTTCTCTCTGTTCCTCACCCTCATAAATCTGTTCCGCAGCACCTCAAGTTCTTTATCATGCATCGCCTTTGATTCGTCTTGCAGTTTGTGAATTGCGTTAATTCTTTCGTAATGGGAATCGCGAGCTTTCTGCCGTTCATCTTCAAGTTGCTACAAAAACAAAAAGAGCATTGATAGTGAAATAATGAACAAATGAACTTCATATACTAGAACCGCAGAATGAAGAAATGAATGCAAAGAAGCAAAGAAATTTCTCCTCACTACGTGTTTTGGAAACGTATCGGGGAAACAAACGAGAATGTAAATTTTGATATTAGGGTTTAAGGAGTGAAAACCTCACTGACTTGTTTAAGTTTCTCTACAGCCTCCTTGGACGCTTTTTGTTCCTCGTGTAACTGCTCGTGAAGAGTTCCAACCTTGTGAAGATAATTCTGTTTCTCATTTGCAAAGTTTCCCTCGGCCTGTTTAAGCTGTGATTTCAATGACTCCACCTCACTTTGAAGCTGATCTTTTTCTATGCTAAGTTCAAGAACTTTGAGTTCATTTTTCTTTTCCACCTGGACAACTTGTTGTGATTCCTGTTTCTGTCTCCCGAGATAGCTTCGCAGTTCTTTAATTTCATGTTGAATATTATCTCTCTGAAGTTCCAGATCCATAAGCTGAGTTCTGAAGAAGAATACGGACATTTGATAAAGAGTTAGTCTACATCACGGTTTGTTCACATTTAAAAAATTAGCCATACATTGGTTGTTGTAAACTACATAACAGTTCAACATGTAGCTAAAACCTCCCCTTGAGAGAATATGCGCTTACTGGTGATGAACATTACAAAGGTAACATTATCCGTGTGTCTGTTAAAATGTTGTTTGTAATATAGCCGACTAAATTGACATTGGATGCTGCAAAGGCTTCTCAACCATTTAAAACTAGGTAGCAAGGCGATTTGTGACATCTTACTTGAAATGGTCTTACTTAATTACTAACTTACTCACAGACCCTATGATATAGTGTATTACTGGCTATAAGGCAGTAAGTACAAAAACCTTTGGTACATTGTAAAAAACTACACTACTAAGAAGATGTTTAAAAACAAACAAGGTCAAAATAGTACAATTTATCTTTGTCTACTTTTTGTAATGGGGTCCCATCACACTTCTTTCTGTTGTTTAGCAGATTTACCTTGTTTTAGTTGCCTGTTGTCTGTACTGTTCCACCAAGTTTTCAGATGAGTTGACCTCGGCCTTATTGCGTTTGATCGTGTCTTCCAGAACCTGAAGTTCCTGCAACGCAATCTGGTGGAACGTTTTTATTTAGAATGGTATGCTTAACAATCCACCACAGAAAAAGATGCAAAAAAGCAGTTTAATTGCACAATGTGTTTAACCATTCCTACTTTTTTCTGTGACGTTGCTTCTTCAAGCTCAAATTCCACTTTTTTAACTTCTTGCAAGCTTCTGTTGAGTTTCTTTTCACTTTCTTGTAACTGTGATTAACAGACATGGTTTAGTAGGTGATGTGGTGTATCTGACTGAAATTCAGATCAGGTCATGTCTAAAATTCTCACCTTGAGTAGAATTTTCTGATGAGCTTCCCTCTGGGCATCAAACGCATCAGCCTAGAGAAACACAACATAACAATGAAAAAAAAAATTCTAGAAGAGCAGGACATAGAATATCCAGTGATCGCACAGAGATCTGCTAAATATGGTGCCTGGCTAGAGATTAACAAAAAAAACACTGTCATGTTTTCAAAGTTAGACTATAAGTAGTCCCTAGTTTTTTCTCTGGGACAGTAGAATGAGCAAAACACACAAGCACGTGTGCCTTGTATGTTTTGCTAAATGCCCTACTATCCCAGAGAGAAATGGCAAAACTACTTGTACAGTAAAACCCCACTGTACAGACACCCTCTTGATATGCATGGACACCTCATTATTACAGACTGTTTGCTTTGTCCAGTGGAAAGAGAGCACTTTTATTTTCAACCCACTTTATACGGACACCCTGTTAATACGGACACTTTCTATGGCCCCCGTAGTATCCATACTAACATGGGGTTTAACTGTACTCTATTTCATAATAATTTATAGTTCTTTCTAATTAATTGAACTACAGGGAGACGCGAGGCTGGATACAAGCAACAGGCCTTGAACATACAAGCTACTGAATTTCAGTAAAGTACATGTATATTGCATCTACTATGCAACAACAACCCTCAACTCATGGCGATTTGTACATCTGCAAACAAGCCTCCACAGAAGACCACCTCTCCAAAACATCCCCATTTTTGTCCCTCTTTTTTTGTTGGAAGAGGGCCTGTTGATGGAGCCTTTTCACATGACGTCACGTCTGCCATACTGGTGTCCTAAAGGCAACCATGCATGTTGGTTTCCCAAACCAATCCTGTGGGAGTTAACCCTTTTCTCATGTAAAAACTTTCTTTTCTTCAAAGAAATGCTTTATAGCTGTTGGCTACATGAGTGAAAGAGCTCCACAACAAAACTTCATAATCTTTATAAGGTAGCTCCTACAAAGTGATAAATATGAATAACTTACAGAGGTTCTCTGTCCTACAGTGGTATTAAAGAGGTTTTCTGTACAAGCATGTTCTTTGCAAAACCACAGGTTAGTTTTATAACTTACCTGATAAGCTTTGGTGGGTGAGAAGAGAGCCTGGGATTTTATTTGAGGTGTTGATGTCATAAATCCTCCAGTTACGGGTGTATATTCATGGTATTCAAAACCTCTGGAACTTCCACTGTCAGAAAACTTGTCAGTATGAAATCGCCGATCACCTCTGTCTTTGTGTGGAGATGAAGAGTAACTAGTATCATGCCGATGAGCTGAGGAATGGAAATATCGTAAAAGGGGGTGCATGAAACAAGGCCCTAAGTGACTCCTGATCAAATATAAAATTCTCCCCTTGATTGAAACTAAAGTGCAACACAAATAAGAAGGAGAATTCAGAATTCACCCTTTTATCAAAAGTCAGTCAGGGCTTTACTATTTCATGAAGAATAGTCACTCTAAAGTCACTTTCTCAATTCACGTAAAGCAAAAAGTCAGCCATGATGTCAGCTCAATGCTTTTGCTTCTTGTTATACTTTCTCCACTGAAGTAACTGCATCTGCTTTCACTGCCCTGCACATTATGCACTGAGTCTAACCACTCGCAAGACATTCAAGTGACAGTAACTCTATGCAAACATGGAAATTTTAAAAAATCAGCAACAGCTTAAGAAAGAATCCTTCTTAAAACTTTTGGCAGCAGACTGTTGGCAGTCTTGACAGTAACTTGCTCATTAATTTTAAATGTCAAGTTAAAGTTCATGAATGATTCCGTGTTAAGTGGAACATCATTAAAGCTCATCACATTTATGCATATTAGACGTGATTACTACCTAGTGAATCTCCTGGCCACTTGTAACAAAAAAATTGCTGGATAATACAGTTACTACATGACACAACCATTGTATTTTACACAACAGTATTATTTCTTAACAGACTACATATGTGCCACTCTCATATTAAGATTATTTCCCTTTAAAATTAACTCAATCTAACCTTTCTATTCAATGTTTGATTATAATAACATTATTGTAACTGAACTTACGACTCATCTTTTATATTAGCAAGGGGCTGCAAGTATATACAATCCCAGTTATAAACTATCAACTTAAATGTGCCCGTTTATACTACTCTCACCTTGCTGTTTTGGAGACTGCAATTTAACACTAGGGCCAGTTCTACTGTCTAACTCATCCACATAATGTGCTGGTG